CATCGCAGGTCAAAATTTTGTAAATCGGGATCATTAAGAACAAGCCTGGTTGCCATTACAGTACATGTCCCTTTTGAGGCTAAGAGGACTCTTGAAGGTGGAGTGATGTCACTCTGACTCCCACACAGCCTCTAGGGAGTCTCATGCTGCTTCACAGTGTCAAGCTTCACCTCCAGAGACATGGTTTTTTGGGTGCTTTGGCCTACCCAGACATTTTCAAAGTTACACTGTTCATTTCAGTCCCAAAAGCAGAGCAAACGATGAGAACATAAAAACAATGATAGCGGCCGACACTGCTCACATTAGTATGTTCACAAAAACAGGCAAAGCACTTTACAGTCACAAAAAAAACCCATTTTAGTGATGTCCTCTCATTGTAAGGAAAAAATAAAAAATAATTAAATAAATAAAATATTGAAGATAAACAACAATTCCGATAATGACCGAATCAGAAAGCTACACAATCATGGCCATGTGCGATCACTATGGACCAAAGCTTAAGACTGTAGTGCACAGGGTAGCAGCATGCAGGTAAATCACAGCTTACAAGAGATGCGTTCCACATTCTACCTTGGCCAGACGATAACCATCATTCATGCAAATTTTTTTATCATAAATAGGGGGTGGTTTTTATACATTAACATCATTAAAGCAAAAATATTGTTGATAGGGAGATCGTAAATCGGGGGATACCTGTATACATAAAATTAATACATGCATTATCGGAAACTAAAATTCAAAGTGCTCAGCAGAAAGTTACATGTCCAGCTTCAAGTTGTTAGATGTCATGAAACACTTGACATACATAAACTGAACAGTGATCAGTAGTGGATGTGTCTTTGCAGTCTCTACAGTGGCCTAGTCAGTGAGGGCACTCACACCAATCCCCTTCCTCATCAAAAGTTGAAATAATCCTTTATACAGCTCTGTACATTGAGTGTGTGCCTCTCACTCTCAAACACACACACATCTAAAACAATTATGACAAATCAGCTAAAATATATATAATCTAATCAGACTTTTATAACATCAGGTTACTTTGTTAGTGTTTGTGTCGAACAGGACAACAAAAATAATTTATAAACCTCATCACAGTACTGTACATTAATTCGGTAAGGCTAAAACACCTAAGTATAGGAACAACTGAGATACAGCATCCTGTACTGTACTTCAACAGACCTCATTTTATCCCCTCAAGACAAAAGCATATAGAATCTTAGTCAATAATTTAGAACTGTCCATAATAAATCAGATATCATTTAAGAACTGATATTGTTTAAAAATGACAAAAAAAAATAAAAATCATAACTACAGTATTAATATTTTGATAAATAATGAAGGGTGAAATCAGTGTCTTCAGAGAATATGTGCTGTACAGGACTGGAGAACAATGCTTTAGATCTTTCATAAATGACATTGCATTAAAAGTCTACAGCCCGAATTCAGAAGTGATTTGAAACCGCATGAAGGTTTAAACCAAGGATCAAGAGGAGATTGAAGATTGTTGGTATTCAGAGAGCTGGCTTGAGCCAACACAAAGATTCAAACCGGGTTTGAGATCGGAATTGTCGATCCTCGCGTTTATCCAGCCTGGAGGCAGGTTTAGCGGTCGATCCTTCAAGCAAGTCGACATGAATTTTGACAGAGAGCGCGGTTTTCAGCAATATCGTCAAATTGGAAATTTTGTAGGGAAGACCGATGGTAGATTGGCAGAATCCTGTCAATTTTTATGATGACACGTTATTTAAACGATATAGGTTCGGCAAGGGAGATTTCCTTGATATTTTCCGTGATAGGGAGCATCTACTTGACAGACCTGTTGTCAATGGTTCACCTTTACCTCCCATTCATCAGCTAACGATTGCTTTGAGATTCTTCGCAATAAATAGTTTCCGGGTAAGAAAGATTCTGGTTACTGAATGAGTTATGGTAATGTGTTACAACACTTCCGTGTTTAGGGTCCACAAAGATCAAGCAGGTAAACGTAAAGAATGCTTACGCTTCTTTATATTGAGTGTTTTTATTTAGGAAAACTATTTTCATGTATTTTCAACACCTGTAATTGAATCAATGCTGAGTGCATTTTGATTTTAATGTATTAATAAAGTTAAGTCTTTTCTTACCATTACTACTTAGGGGAAATGTGGGATTAAAAGAACAGAAAGAAACCTAACCTAACCGAACCTAGCCAGGTTACTACAATTTGTATGTAATTGTTCTTCCTCTATGAATTTCTTTGTTATATAATAATACAGCCACATTACCATAAATCATTATAATTTTATCATAATTTGATTGTATTTATAGTAATAAAAGTAACTTTTGATGTGCAAGGAGAGATTTCTCCTCTTCAGTAAAAACTCGTCGAGTCATATTTGCCGCCATAATCTTGTAAATATTACTCTCGATGGTGATTGGCTGTTGTAATGATGTAAGTGAAACGTGATTGGCTGGAATTTCAGTGTTCGAATCCTTGCTTGTAATTGAAGATAATGCAACACATTAACCAATCCAGGGTTCAAGTCGATGTTCTGAATATGGGTAATTCACTGCAGGAAATCTCGGACAGAAGAATTTGGATTCTCAGGCCTGAGTTGAGCTCAAATCACCGTTTTGAATTCGGACCTACATGACCACATTTTTCTTACTGTAACCTTCCCAACACGAAAATCTGATGTAATAAATCTTTGACTAACAACTATTTTATCTGCACAGTACAGTACATTCAATATGCCATTACTAATTATCACAGTCTTTTGTATTGTTGATGCACTCACTGTTACCTTTCACCAACCCTCCCACTATCACCATACACATATTTGCTGCTCAACCATTCTACTTCACAAAATGTCTATTCAATAACAAAAATATTATCGACAGTAACAAAGGCACAAACTTCCTTGAAAACTTTTTCTCTAAACTTCTCCAGAATCTAAGATGCAAAACCAGGACCAAGTAATCATAGAGGTAAGAAATAAACACATGAAAATGTCTGGTTCACAGTAGACAAGCCATGTACACTTTCACCACTGATAAGTTATGATGTATCTAGATTGTAATTTCATAGAATATCTTTTACCTTCTGTCAATTTATCGAGAACACATTACTTAATGGTACTCTTATCACATATAGTGTTTAAATTATCTTTAAAGCAAAACTTCTGAACCTTCACCACAAAGTAAAACTCGTCATTTGACAGAAAGAAACAATATTTCTGATCAAATCTAAAATCATAATTCCTAACACTTAAACCTGCAGCAAAGGAAAAGGTTGTATCCAAATACAGTATTCAAGCCAGAAAATATTGTATATCTATGAAAAGTAGAGCATCTGTAGTCAAAGAAAAAAGTCGTGTTACACCCCTCAGCATTATGTTTCAAAACCCATGATGAAGAATGTGGGTAAAGTGACAGCAAAGCTTCGAAGATTGAGTCTGTACGGGGATGTTTACCCAAATTTTTCGTCATAGGTTTCAGAACATAAGGCTTGGTATGTGTAACGCGACTTTTCTTTGACTGCACATGTGCCTCAGTTGTTAGCAACATGCCTCCAACATATGCCAGATGTTATCAAAACTTTTACATCTTATTAAAATTTTGCTTTGTCATAAATAAAAATTAACTGGTTCAAAAACAGCTCTTAATCCAAGCACTCAGGATATACTATACATTTTATGGAAAAAATATTGTTAATTTTCATAACTTTGATAATGATGAGTAAATTTCATTCATTATACAAAATATTCAAAGTGGTTTGAGTGTGAGCAGCCAACAACTATCTAAGAACAGCTTGTGGAATTCCAGCTGCTGTGAGGAAAACAGTGCTTTGTGACGAGTAATGAATAATAACTTGAGGTGTGCTGGAGTGAGGGCTACAGGGCCAAGATGTAGTTTGGACTGAGGACCAAAGGACCAAACATGAGGGGTCAGAGGCTGAGATATACTGTAGTTTGGACTGAGGGCCACTTGCAGGTCACAGCCAACAGGGGGCCTCACAGTCCCAAAACTAGTACAGATTAATGCACATTATAAACTCGAGGCCGCCTTGAGACACAAAGCATTCCACATTGCTTGGTGAACTACAGTATCATGAGCAGGAGTGTCCAATGCTTAACATACATCATTGACAATAAAATATAGAGGACTAATTTCCCCTAAGTACAAGATCATCTTCCAATAGTTAAATATCTATGACTATAATATTACAGAATTAGACTAGGGGTTTCACTAAGTTGGACTAAAGGATCTACAGGTGAGACTCTACAATGGCCTACTACAAAGGAGGAGCTCATGTGAATAGAAAAAGGATCATTATTTGAGAACCACAAGTGAATAAATGCTAAAACGCATGTCATACATCTTAGGTGCAAAATTCTGTAATAAATCTGAATATAATTTTAATATATAGTATATACATTACAAATGCAGTACAGGGGGCCCCCAAATTCGCAGATTTTTATTTTGCGGTTCTCTAGTATTCGTGGATGACACCCTGGATGTACCTAAGAATGTCTGTGGGTAGTTTTAAAGTTGCCATCATTTTTGTGGGCGGGACAGGGCGCCATTCATTCTAGAGACAGTAATTTCCTTTACCTGTATTGTAAATACTGTATAATAATAATAATTAACGGTTTATTGAAAAAGCATGGCAGCCGGAAGGCTGAAAATATACAGTTACATAATTGGGGAATGGGTCTCTTGATTTACAAATAATATACAAGTAACATAACTGATACAAATATGATATATAATAACTAGTTGGGGAGAAGCTCAAACTACAGGGCATTTCAATATAGTGACAGTGCAAAAAGTAAGATTGACTGGGAGTGAATACACTGGTGGATTACAAGTTATTGATAACTTTTACAATGTGTGTGTGTAGACACACACACAAAACACATACGAATAAACAATAAAGCACGGACTTGAGGATAGACTGTCACATTTTTAATAAATTTGTCTCTGATTATTTGTGAGAGTATTTTCCCATTATTATTTATTTGTATGTGTTATGTGTGCTGAACACATACACATATATACAATACAGGTAAAAGAAATAATTGTCCTAAGGGCAAACACATAATGGGAATATACATTTCTTTGTACACAAGAAAAAATGTACCCCTCCCCGGTCAGCAAACTTTATTTGCGGATTTGGTGATTTGTGGCCATTCTGAAAACCTAACCCCCACGAATTGAGGGCCTACTGTACCTGTAACAGTTATGATCAAAATCAACCTACAACTTACCTGTGCAATTTTCAATAATCTTGTGAAATCAGATAACGATAAAAAATTATATGCTCTTGATATACAAAATATAGAACAGCTGATTTCTTTCTCACAATATTTCATGCTTGATGAGAAATATATTAATATTCAGCATCCCATTAAAAGCATGAAATATTATCACAAAGAATATAATATTTGTTTACAAAACATCAAATCTTCTACATATATATATACAATGTCTCCGCTTTTTATCAACATTACGTCAACACTGATCAACAAATACCTAACAAACTTGATATGGAAATAATGAATCACAATATATAGAATTATTGTTTCTTTGTAACATTTTTATTGGTTCACCAATAAAAGCAGCTTACTAATTATATTTCAGTGTAAAAGGTCGGCCTCTCTATGCCAATGAGACGGAAGGCCATTGGTCCTGTGTAAACAACTGTGAACCCGATTGCAATATATGTGATGAATTTGTAGAACAGTTCAACAACGAGGCGTCGGCGAACAGTGATGCTCCCGGTCTTGTTCACGTAATCCTCAGCTTTTACCTGAAAGTTGTTTATCTGTTATTCATCATTCTTCCACTCCTACTTATGATGGGTGGCAGGTCACAGGAACAAAATCAGTGGCTGGACTCAAGGGGGCCAAATTAAAAGAGATCTGCCTCCCCCTAGTAGAACAAAACAGGTTTGCTTTTTTATGAAGATGCCTTTTTTAGAAGCTAAGAAAGGTTGGTGCTGTTAATTTTTTTTAGTGGCAGAGTTATCCTTCAGCCTTTTGTATTGTGGTAACCATTTTTACACAAATTTTGATACATTTTTGTTCAAAGTCTCAATATTCATACTGTACTGTACTCCTTTACACACTGATTAAGGTTCTGTGGCCACAGTTGTAATTCTGTTAATTACCTGTCATAATTAAATTAATTTTGCACCCCCCAATTATTAATCACATGTTGATAATATAGGCTATTTTATTTTTTTTTCTTCCATTCTGGATGTGCTTCAATGAAATTAGGAAGACTAATTCCAAGTCCCAAATGAAAGTGTTATAAAAATGGGCTACAAATAATTAAACATTAAAATGCACTTAATAGCATTAAAAAAATTAAAATAAATAAATAAATAGGTACATGTTTTTTGGTTTGTTTTTTATTTACTTTTTTGACAAGGGCTTTTGCCGACCCTGTTTTTTCAAGGTCACTTTTTGGAGCTTATATGACATTCTGGATGTACGTAAGTAGTTGGACATTAAATTTTAATTCTGAGATAAAAAGTGTTTTTGGCCATAATCTTGATCTCACAAATTTTGTTCAAAATCTCAATATGTACTCCTGAACATGCTGATTAAGGATCTGTTGCATGCAATATGATATCTGTATAATTATTTGTCTAAATAACATTTCAAAAATTTTAATTACAGTCGCAGAGCTGTTTTGAATTCAGAGAGCAGAGGCGTGGTGCGAATTCTTGCCATGAGAGAACTCGGCATGCTGCCTCTGACTCATTTCCACCATCTTTGCTCTTGTTTACACTTACCATGTGTCACTGACTTCGTGTTTTTTCGTTATTTCCAACTTCATGTGTTATGCAATTATGCCTAAACGCCCCAGTGACAGCTCCTCTTGTGCTGCCCCTCTTATGGGCAGCTTGAGGTGATATGATTAGGTGTACAGTGGTCCCTCGGTTAACGAGCACAATTCGTTCCAGCAGGTTGCTCGTTAACCGAAAAACTAGTTAACCGAAACCATTGTTTCAATGGGTTTTTGGGTAATTGGTTCCAGCTCACCGAAAATTGCCTAAATTCAACAAAAAAGGTAGAAAAGTACACTTACTATGAGGTGTGTATGTAGAAGGCTCCTGGATGATGATGATGGAAATTAGAATGGGGGTGGAGGAGAAGGGAGAAGAGAAGGCTTTGGGGTGGAAGAGAAGTCACCCCATGGCACCATTTCACCCATAAAATTTTAGTTCTCTTGGTGTAATTCAAGATTATTTTCTTTAAATCAACACTGCACTGCATTATATATTGTCAATATGTAAAATAAATTTCAAAATGACCAAAAATTTGCTTGGAAACACAGAAAAAAGCATTTAGTTGAAGAGAGTCTCAAGCAAGATGTTACCTCCACTGAAAACAGAGAGACTAACGCCTGTCTGGTGTGTTAACAGGCTGGATGGCGCGCCAGAAACTAGTTTCTTTACCTTCAATTATGTTCAATAATTGTTAAAATGACTAAAAAAGTTAATATTAAACTTTTAAAATTATTGAATAGTATAAACTTCTTGATATTTACTAAAATAGTAAGGAATTTAAGCCCTAAAACCGATTACTGTATTGGCGGACTAATACTACAGCTGGTGGACCGCCAAATGCAAGCGAAAACATGTTGGTCAGCTCGTAAAAAACTCGTTAATCGAGGGATTGCCCGTTAACCGAAGTTAAGAATCTTATGGAAGGTAAATCGTTAACCGAAATCTCGTTAACCGAGGGATCACTGTAATAAGAGTTGTGATGGACTAACAAAGTTTGGTAGAGACTTGATTTTGCCACCCAGACCATCTTTACCATCCTCAACACAGGTAATTAAGTCTCAATTTATTATGCTTGCTTTACATGTCTGCTTTATTTTCTGGCTTGATAGTGTGCACGACAAAGATATATCAAGGGTAGATGGGAGTTTTTGTAGGGTGGCCGGTCTCTAACCCCCTGAATTTGTTATGTTCTTATGGGACTAATTGCTTCAATAACCATTGATTCTCTAACCAAAGACTTTTCCCGGTCCCTGTATACTGTATGTCGGTTATCAGGGTACACCTGTACTATACTTATGGTTGAGATGCTTAACATCACTAATTAATCTTGTTCATTCTGAGTCTTAGTGGAATGTGTCTTACAGAATCAGGTGTTATCAGGGAGTCACTGTATAGTACTGTATATACACTGATGTCCACTTACCTGAAGTAATGCACAAATGGTGGCAAAAGATAATGACTTAAAAATTGCCCTGACAGCCACTATGATGACTAGTCCAAGTACTGTGCGAAGCAGTGAGAGTCCGATCATGTTGAGCGATGGCCAGATGACAGAGTAAGGTGGAGGTAGTGATGGCTCACGGATAATTCCCATCTGGTAGTTGACCCAGGACCCCAGCAGGGATCCACAGCCTACGCCAACAATAACAGTTGTGTCACCCCTGCAACACATGACAAATACAAAGCAGCAAATGAGAACACTTCAAAATATACTTCTTAAACTTAAATCTTCATAAGTTCTTGAAAAATTAACCCTATGCACAGTATATTACCGCACCTTACAGCATATAAGAAGCACCTTTTTCTGAATAACGGCTAAAAAAATCACCCCACAATATACTGTATGTGAAGTTGTGATCTCCCATAGGCTAATGGATCCCCAGTTGCTGTCTCTGGAAGGACAATCTCAACTCCAGAATTACAAATTTTATTGTTTACTTAAAATACATTATTAATATTTTTAATTAATTAAAAATGAATTATTCTAAATATAAAAGCTGGATTTATAGCTACTGATTATGATATCCACACCAACGCTGGCTACCTCTTGTTGCCAGGATTACCTATGTGTAACTGAGTTCTTGGAACCACTGGGAAATTTATGTCTCATTCACTGGCTTTGGTATATTAATCAAGGTATTGGAGAACTAAATTCCATAATATTACTGAAGGGAGAGGAGAAGCTGACAATGGTGCATAGCAAGGAAGAAGAGTTTACTGTGCCCAAGAAGCTGGAAACAGCTGAAAAAATTAACTTCTACATTATTTCAGTTAATGTATTCCTTACTATTCAGTAATTAAGATCAGAGTCAGGGTAAAATAAAAGTTGCAAATCAAGTCATCACAAATCTTTCTACCATCAGCTGGGATTTAAGGTTGTAACTAACAGATTGTAATTCCAGTGATGTAATAAAAGGGATAAGAATGAGAGGAAAGATATTTCTACAGTCTTAAAGTACACTGAAGGTCAATGCTAACAAAGGCTACTATACTGTAGTACCTGGTGTTTTAATCAATTTTATGAAAAATTTTGGCTACATACAGACACCCATAGCCAACTAATCACAGTCCTATTCATATTTTCACAATTTAAGTTAACATTTAAACATGAAACAAATTCCCATTGTGGCAGATCACAAAATTATTGACTACACTACAGTACCTAGCAGGAGTCCAACGGTCAGTGGCAGGGTAGCAGACGACCATGGCGATTGTTAGCGTAATGGAGATGACAGGAGAGGCCGGGTGGGTCAGGGCCAAGTGATCAAGAGTATCCACCCACGGCAAGATCATGATAAGCAGTACAGTCACCAACACCAAGCCACACAACACATCCTGCATACAAGAGACATTATTTACCACCTTACTGAATACAAGGGTCAATTTTTATCATCCTCCTCAATGCTAGAAAAAGTAATTATCATCCTATTGAGTGTAAGTGCCATTTTCTATCATCATCCCTCACTGTTTTTAATTGTCTCAAGTAAGGATGATTACTACTCAACCTTCTTGGGAGTGAATTTTGGCCTCCAATGTAACCCCTTCCTCCTTCCATGATTACTGCCATACATTAAACACATTCAGAAAAAACTAAAACATTTTATACACTAAATTTATCTAGCTGCAAGAACTAAGACGCAAATTTGAAAATAAGCCAAATAAAAATGATTATTATTTCACTAAAGGAAGCTATAATATTTGTGGTCATTAAGATTCATCATTTATCCTCACAAGAATCAAGTATATGAACAGTATGAAGAAAAAAAAGTGTGAAAATATGACTTACCAAAACACTGTGCATGCCCAGGTACAGTCTTGACAAACAAACACAGGTACACCACGTGATTGCAATGGCCAGTCCCCAACCCCAGTCAAGCTTTTAAGGGGTAAAGCCAAAAAAAAACCTATTTTAATAAAAGTTATCTTAGATACTTCATAAAGGCAACTCTCTAAAAAAAAAAGGTTGAAAAATAAGTAGATTAGGGATCATTGAAAAAACAGACAAACCTGCATTAACAATTACCAGTCTTTTGTCTCTTACCCAACCAAGATCCAAGTTGAACGATTTACTATTGGTTGTCCTGCATCCAATAGAATTTTAGTTACTGTGAGGAAGCCACTTGTTTACAGACAGACAGATAGACAATCAGACTCAGTGCTACAGCTATATCCCTCATACTTTCTCAGGAGGTTTTAAAAATAAATAAATACAGCAGAATCCCAGTTATCTGACATGTATGTGGATTGAGAGGTGCCGGCTAGAGTTTTTCCGGTTAGTTGAAACTCACTCTTAGGATTCTCCAATAAACCCTTACATTGCACAGTTCTACAGGATGACCTCACATATTCGTGTTAAAAAAAAATGGCCATCTTTAACACTTATTCCACTCTATATAAATGAAGAGCTCAGGTGTGTATGTGTGTGGAGGCAGTTTTAGGCAGGGCCCCAGCCATAACAACATCACCAATTTGCCAGCCCCGCCGCCTCATATATTGTTACTTGTAATGAAACTATAAAAGTTGTGTGAAGTGAATGTGTATTGAGGCAGTGGGTTACTGGGTTATAACTGCGTGGTCGTACTCCCTCCTGGTGTGATGTCACAGCATACACTAAGCCACCACGGCAGCCACACGTCTGTGAGTCAGCTGGGTGACTGAACTGTGTCTTGTTGCCCAGAGGATGGTTTGAGTAAGAAAGAAGCTATTTTTTGTATATAAATTATGTGCTATTGTATTTTGTGATATTCTATGTACAGTATCAATTTTATTGTTTATCATAGCAATAAATATGGCAGCTCATCCCCATTGCATATGGTATTCAAGCTTATAATTCTAGCTGATTTTGGAGGAATTTTTTATTACTGTATTATTACCGGTATTTCATTTTGGTGCTGGTTAGTTGAATCTACTGATTGCCTGAATACCAGATGACTGGGATTTTACTTTAATAATAATAATAATAATAATAATAATAATAACAATAATAATAATTAAAATCAAATAAAATATGAGATAGAATCTTTATAACCGACTAAAAAAAGGTGAAACAAACACAATATCTCAACATCTGATAATAACACAATACTGTATTAGAAAAAAAAACAATAAAAAATGATACACAACTGACAACAAGACAAACACGTACTTGATAACGATTAAGCGTGAGGATGAGGATGGAGAACGGCATGGCAGCACCAACCATCGCGTGTGTGGAGGGCAGACCGTACTCCAGCTGCCACTTGGGGTCTAACCGAATCGCCGGGGGGCAGGCTGGACGAGGAACTTTCAGAATGTCTTTTAAGGCTTGTCCTGTGATGAGAAAATGTATGAGTGTACGTCTGCCTGTCAAGTTATGCATCCCAATCATTCATTCTTATACAGTAAACCCTTATACTCATTGTTGTCCAAATTTATGTACAGTCAGACACAATGACATTTTCACCTTGTCCACATCCTATATATATATATATTTCCTGTTGGTCAGCCTTTATTCAGTGTTGTTCAGTAAATTCACATTACAGAACTAAGAAATTTTACACATGAACTCTGAAAAAACAGTCTTCGTTCACAACTAAATATTCAACAGGTTGCATCTGAAGCATAAACATACAATACCCCAAAGAGGAAACAGCTCAAGAGTCACCCACTTACAGTACAGTACTCCTAAAGCAAGGTAATATTCAAGAGCTTTTGTATTAAAATGTGTAATAAAATCCAGAGATGATCTCATCCTCTGACTCATAGAACAAGAAGCAGGATCTGATAAATAAAATACACAAAGAACAATCTCAGTTATTCCGCTCTGTTCAACTCATCTTGAGGCTTTACTATCTGCCATTTCAATTAATGTACTGTACCTGTCTTCACCTTTTTCTTATTGTATATATTCTGGATATTTGTTGAACTCCTTAACCAAGAGACGTTCTCTGATACAACAATGTTAACATGCGTGTTATTAACTATGCCGATCAATGTTTATCCTTTCCTTAATAATAATAATAACTCAAACATCACAATAGAAAAATACAGTTCCACTCACCAATATACATAGTAATCATCCAAATAACAATAACTCTTCGTAATACAGCACCGTCCACATTCCATGACCAGAAGCAAAAGAACACGGAATAGAACAACTCTCCTCCCAAGCTTGTTGCAAAGAAGAAGAGATGGTACCAAAACCTGTAGGAAACACCACACATGTCATGGATTTGGAGTTCCTGCACTCAGGCACAAATTAAAAAACAAAACATAAACATTATCAGACAAAAAAGCCATCCGTAAGAAAACAAGTGATCAAAAGCTATGTTACTGAGGGCTTTGTCATATACTCAGTAGCAGTTACAAAGATTTGAGCCTGAAAACCCATTTTGTAATCAAGCAATCAAGGAATGACATGTCTAATATGCCACAAAAACATTCAGGTTTGGCCATGGACAACTTCAAAAAAATTCCAGGGATGCAGGTGGGACTGAAGGTGTACCTTAATCGCTTGGTTAAATAATTGATATTCACGATCAAATCTTTACTTTGACCTTGATGCAATCTCCAAATGACTCTTGTATGAGAAGTAAGCTATGATAAGTGCTACATCAGTTGTCCCTGTAAAAAGTTTACTCCACATATACAAGTAGTACACTGTATTAAAGTCAGAGGAACTAACCTTACAAACAAACTTCCCTGTATTTTACAAACCCCTCACTGCTGTTCTAAACATTGAGAGAGCTATTACAGTACGGTACTTAGCTGATGACTAAAGTGTTAACCTCTTAAGTCAGGGACACCACATGTCCCTTGATCATGGGTATATAAACTATAGACTGACAGGAAATAAAAACAAAGAATTTCACACCCTGAGCCTCACCTATCCTTGATCTCATACGAAGTTTCCTCTAACTCTGACTCAGACACAGTGTTGTCCTCCTCCATGCTTCCTTCTGTTCCTCCAGTGTTTTCACCAAGCAGCATACCCATCCATGTCCTGCCTGTGGGTATATATAGATACAAGATTAATTCCTGCACTCTATATCCCTTAACTAATTAATGATCTGTGGTGGTTCAGTAGAAAAATGAGTCCGCACGTGTTGTTCATGATGGGAAACCAACTCAAAAGCCTTGTCAATTTTATCTGGAAGTAGAAGTGTTACACAAGAGAAAACAGTATTTCATTCTGGACACTTTAATAACACAGATATTAAAGCAAATAAATCAAAGTACTGTACATGTAACTAGGTACACACAATCAAAAAACTATATTTACAGTTTTGTGTTAGGCAATACGACACAGCGGATAAAAGATTTTGACAACCCAACCGAGACAACACGATTACAGGAGTCACAGTGATCATTTTGAAATTCATCTGACCTATCCATAAAGATGACAAGTCAGTCACACAATGCATGATACTGAGAGACAGGTGGGTCACACAATGCAGGAGCTAAAGTTCAAGTGCTGCCTTTACACATTCTAAAACCTAAGATAATGACAAGTGGTCTGGAGTCAGGAATTCCAGACTGCAGTGCTTCAGGTGTTAAGAGTACAGTGATAACTAATGACCTACACATGTGATAAAATACCCATGAAGAGATAGACACAAAGATTCAGAAATACTGTACTCATTCAAGTGTTCAAACACAGTCACAGCACATATTCTTACCACTGCCATTACTGCCATCGCTCGCTGTGCTGCTGACACTGGCTGCAGAGTCCTGACGTATGTGAGTTTTGTGCATCTCCTTCTGATACTTTCTTCTAACTTGTAGTCCTTGTTTACCAGATTGTTCGTCCAGGTACCGATCCATTAGATTCATATTTGTGTGTCTGTTTTGTAAACTGGTCTGCGAAGAGAGTATATGATCCCCATCAACGTAGTTCTTTTGGCCAACTTTAGCATTCTTACGATGCACCCCAAAGAAGTGTTGGACATCTGCCACCAACTGTGGATCTTGAAGCTTCTGAAGAATATCCATTTCTTGCTCTTCTATTGATGTATTAGTGATCTAGGCAGCTAATTCATATCTTCTGAAAATTATAAATTCACATAAATGTACAGTACTGCAATAAGATTATAATCAACTGTAAAGAATAACAATACAGTACTAGCTATTTTTTCATACAGTATATACCCGGGCTACTCAATTAGCGGACCATGAGCAGCTTTGTTGAGGACCACAGCATCATCATCATCATCATCATTTCTCTCTCTCTCTGAAAAAATAAAGCTTAAGGTTTTCTTTAAAGTGCATCTTTAATTTCAGTACAGTACAATGATATCCCCGTTAGCCGGAACAATTGGTGCAGAGCACTTCGGGGAATGAGAGATTTCCGGGCAACGAGACGACTCTCTCAAAGCCGGAAAAAATAAACAATCCCCGGAATTTTCCAGGTAACGGAAAAATGTTCTCGGAAGTTCCAGAACTTGCCCATTACAGTACAGTACATCATCTCTCGAACCCCGAAAAATATCCCTCATCCCCAGAATTTTCTGGGTAACGGAAAACTTTTTCTCAGAATTTCCAGAAAATGCGCCTGCTTTTCATCTCTCAAACCCGGAAAAAACTCCCACATCCCCGGAATTTTCCGGGTATCGGGAAATTTTTCCGGAAAATGTACCCCTCGGAAAATCGTTCCCAAAGCCGGAATTTTCCAGAAAATTCCAGCTTTGAGAATGATTTTCCGAGAAAATTTCAATTCCGGCTATTGGAGAGTTCGGGGTTTGAAGGATTCCGGCTAACGGAGATATTACTGTAGTAGTATTTTCAGTTATCTCTTGTTTTCAATTATTTTATTGTACTAAAAATATTATACACACATATAGCAGGAAATAAACTGTAAAGTGTACTCTTGTTTGTTATTACAGTACGTTATTTTAAATGAAGCCTTTCATCCAGACCTTTGCCAACTAGGAAATTCGAGTGACTGGACCTTCACAAATAGAAACTGAGTTACCCTGGTATACAGTACAGTATACAGTATAGTGTACTGTATAATGTACAGTACTGTATTTAGATGGTTTATAATTTTGTTTAATTAATTCATTATTCTACCATATCTTAACGTTTAAGAATAAATTCAAACCATCACAGGAGTTACAGTAAGAAAATTTTTCCTAGCATCAACACTGCAAACTTTCATACACAAAATTTTTTCAAGTGAAATATCCATTTTATTACAGGTACTGTACTGTACTATATTCTACACATCAACATATACTGGTGTTTAACTTTACACTTGTTCAAAGCACAACCAACTTTGGCTAGATGAATGAATACTGTATGACTAATTAAGAAGAAATGCCCAAGAAACTTCCATACAGCACTTGTTCTCTGCTGCTATATTACCGAATTTTCCAAGATTTAAAACATTACATAATGAGATTTTGTAAGCTTTATACAAAGAACATTTTGATAGGAAACACCGAGTCTTCTACTGCTAACCATATTAAAATATACCTTATAATGAGTAGCTACTGCCTGAACACCACTACAGTATACACCACTGTCTCTGTGTTCTGTCACTTACTTGCCAAGTAATTTTACAAACCATTTCATCACTTATCAGACATTCAGGTCTGTTCTTTGTTACTTTATGACCTTTATCTCCTTAAAAAGCATTCTCTAGCTTGAAGAACATAAAGTTTATAACTCCAAAGATAAGGTGGAGGATAATATAAGGCCTGCTGCACATCATAGAGTGATGGCCGCCTTCCTGTGAAATTGCTCTATTTTCCCTACAGAATCTTTATTATTCTTTTGAAGTTAACAACAAAGTTGCACTCAGGAAAGGGTTGAATAGATGGAGGCGGCACCCACTGCCCCAAGTAAAGTCACTGACCGTGACTGATGCCATGACCAATATGGCAGTACTTCTCGCTCAGTGACTCCAACCTCCTTGGTAAACCCACTACAATATAATGTGCGTAATAAATACAGAATTATCTGTAACCATCGTTTGTTTGTGAGTAGCTGCAGCAACTGTGGTTGTGTTGCCTTGACCAAGATGGTAGCAGATGGGCTGCCTGACTTCATGCGATTCTTGTATACACAGCGGAGCTGCCTCCATCCATTCAACTTCCTTGGTTGCACTTTTATTTACTGGATTTTTTACAGAATACAGGAGCCCTGGTATATTTTTAATAAAAAAATTTTTTTTATCTTGTGAGAAGCAAAAAAAATAAAACACGAAAAAAAATGTGAGTGACCCTGAAATCCCATTTTAAAACAAAGCCTCAATGATTGACTCATGAATATACCAGCTTAGTTTTCAGGCTTTGGAACCCAGGAAAGTTGCTAACTCGGAGATGGGACTAGAAAAGATCAAACCTTCCTGAAATGGTCCTAACCCTGAGAAATCAGTCTCAGAAATATAAATTCGTAATTATGACTGACAGCTAATGAATCAGGAGATCATACAGCTCATGCAGCACACAGTCTACAAGTAAGGGATCCCTGCAGAAAATGACAAAATACCAGTTGACAAAACCCAATAAAGTACTGTACTGTACAGAGAATGAAATCCAGGAATATCCACATTTAGTTCAGCAATTCGAAGCTCCTATAGTCCACCAGGTGGGTAAGCACTTTTTGAAGCTTCCAGGGAAACAGGTAAAGTCTCTCTCCACTTCATTAACTGAAGCTAAAAGAAAATTTAAAACTTATATCACACAAAATGTATTGCTCATGCATCTTTGCATGAACCAAAACACAAAAATAAATCTTCTGCATAATAAAAAGTTATCAACAACGCATAGAACGAAAAAAATCTAAAAAAAAAAAAAATTTCATTGCTGGGTCGAGAAGACGGTGTTTTCTACATACCGTATGTACTGTATTAGCCTTATTTTGTCAACAGCTCATATGGAAAACTCACTGGGAAGGTTGCTTAGCATCACTCGCTGGCAAGCATGTCAACACTTTGACCATAAACATGATAGCGATATTCGTAAGGTAAGAAATATGATTTTTTTTACAGAATTTCCAGCTATTACTGTATTCCAGAAAAACTAGCTTACGAGCCTAAATTATAGGCTGTTCTTTACGGAATACCTGTACTTACTCAGTAGTTGACTACCTGTACTGCATAATGATATGGTTAGGTTACGGTCTTTTAAGTTATGTTATTTAAGTCATTTGGAGTGAACTCATTTCCCCAGTCGATGTCACCATAGTTAAAGTCCCACATGATAAGGAGGTGGCTAGGGTTGAGCATTGCCGCGTTGTCTATTAAGGCTCTTAAGTTCCTTTGGTTTGGTAAGCTACAGTTTGATGATCTGTAGATACACCCGGCAATAAGTATGTCTCCTCCCTTTAATTTAATTTTACACCACTTGGATTCTTTAAAAACATCCTCTTCCTGTACCCTTACCTGGCTGGCTCTAAAGTCTTGCCGAGCATAGATAACCAAACCCCTCTTTCAAGTTTCTTGAGAAAGGTTTGTAAATAAGTCATATCCGTCAATACTAAACTCATATTCCTCTGGGTCGATTCTCCTGTTCTTGTACAACAGGTCTACAACTCCTATGTCGGGTTGGTGTACCTTCAGTAATGTTTCAAACTCCTCTCTCTTACCAAGGAACGTGTCAGTATTAGTATACATGACATTCAAACTGGAATTTGTTCTCAGTAACGTCTCTGCTCCAGGTAATAACTCCGGGCCCCCTCCATTCTCAGCAACTGCAGCATTTGTGTGGCCGCTTTTGTATAGCGAGTTTGCAACAGTAGAGTCAGTCATTGTAATACAGAGGTTCCGTGTGTGGCTTGTGTTCTTACTCACGATCATTATTACTACAAGGAGGAAAGTAAAAGAACTCGATACCTATTGTCAAACATAACTAAATAAAACTGCCAATATGATTTTCCAATGTCTCATTTCAGTACAATGGTGATAGATAGCAACAGTAAAATTGAGCATTTTGGGCCTAAAACCCAAAATTTAGAATGGAAATTGATGTAGGTAGGACACCTCCAATCTCAAAATCAAGATTATTCCTGAAATCTACACATAAAGATGCATCATTTGATGACCGCCATCAAAAAAATTCCTAAAGTTTCACTTCGATCCCTGAAATTGACAACCCTGTACCGCTGCCCTCTGGCTCTGTGTTGGTGCTCTTGCTTACACTACCCTCTCCCTGGATAAAACCCATGTATATTTTGTTCAGATCTGACCTTCGTTTCCCTGGGAAATGCGTCGTTTCAAAAAAAAAAAATGATGCAAGTGATCCTTGATCAAAAACAGCTATTTTCCATCAAAAACGAAGGTGAGATCGGAACAAAATACATCTACATACATCAGAAACCAAACATCTAGACCCCTAACTTTTACTAAATTAACCTACTTTAACCTAACCTACCTTAACCTCACCTCACCTAACCACTGCAGGGGGCCCTAACCCCAGCGGGGTAGAAAACGCGGTAATTATTCATTTTAGCACACCCTCAAATTTTTTCATGAGATGCTTGGTTTCTGATATAGCGATAAGAAAATGTAGAAAAAATTTACGAAATCGAACAACTCCTCCCGGCAGTAGTGCTGTTCTCAGACATTACCCCACAAAATTGAAAACCTGAATAAACCTTTCTTAACCTAAGAATGTCCTAATCCTATAATCTCACTTCCAACAGATACATCCTGCCAATGTCATTTACATTTTTTAACACGAGTAAAACTACAGATTACGGCAACCAAAGAATCTGATAAAAAAATGTGTTTTTATGGTAGTTTTTGATGCGTGGGAATTCGGGATTCTGGGTGGAGGAGAGCCAAAACGAGTGATTTGTGGTATAAGCAAATTCCAAAATTGTCCGAATCGCAACAAAAAAACATCAGACGAACACATTACGCAACAGAAATTCTGTTATTTATGAAAAAATAGTTCTATCGATTGCGTGTTCTGAATTTCCGGTACTCTGTGCTTGTTAACTTATACCATATAACCAAACTAAACATTACCTAACAACTTAGCCGTGGGCTCCACCCCCAGACCCAAGGTGATCCCTAGACCCCCAAGCGCTAAGTAATAACCCTAGAGTCGTGTGGTCAGCCTCCACGAGAATATAAATTGAGCAATGGCGAGAAGGAATTTGTGGAGGCGTTCACCATCATTTATAGGAAACGTCTCTTGAAGAGAGATTCAGTGAGGCAAAACAACAAAAATGGCGCCGAGAGGAGAATTGTGAAGTGGGATAGAGAAAAAAATACTTAAAATTATACTAGAAATTTGTCGTTCCGTTTAATATACTTAAAATCATCAAAACAAAAAGTATAGCCAAAAAAAATATCAACAAACAACTTCTGGTGGTAGCCGTTAAGTACACCTTTACCTTAAAGTCAACCTTGTCCACGTTACCATTGTAGAAATCGTTGACTTTTTTCCTACACACTAACAGCATGCAAATAAACACAGAAATGGAAACAATACATAGAACCTGGGTGCTGGACAACTCGTACCCAAGCAAACCGTACCTATCAGAACTGTCTCGTAAATTGGGTAACGAGTTGACATGTTCTGATAGGTACGGTTTGCTTGGGTACGAGTTGTCCAGCACCCAGGTTCTATGTATTGTTTCCATTTCTGTGTTTATTTGCATGCTGTTAGTGTGTAGGAAAAAAGTCAACGATTTCTACAAACTCCTTCTAGTGTTAGCTCTAAACTACACCTTTACCAAATAGTTCTATCGATTGAGTGTAGTGAATTCTGTGGTTGCTGTAAAGTCCGTCACATAAATTCACATATGTTCACCATATAATGAAGGCATATCTGCTAAGTTAAGTATATCGACTTCAAGAATAGCCCAGGAAAGGTGTTAAAAGCTAATGATACAAGCAGACCAGAATTTACCTGAGTTATGGAGGTGTGAGGGAAGAGGCCTGTCTCACTGCTGTACTGTCCTGCCCGGTTATCACATACTGTACAATCCACACTGAAGTCTTATCACGTGGATCTTACCTCTGTTTGTTTACCCAGTCAGCTGTGAATCACACACCCACCGTCACAACACCAGTTGTTTGAAATAACTTATAATTTGGGAAGGGAAAATATGTACACAGGTAACACGAGAGGGTGAGGTTGAGACGCTACATCTGCTGTATAACGTAGAGCAATATTATAAACAAAATAATAACTCAACTTAAAATACCTATTCATATTACAAATAATATAATTTCAATTGGATATTTACGGCAAATTATAATTCATAACGAGTAAGATATTTTATATATTTGAAATCCTGTTTTTATAGCAGTTGTACTTCTAAATAAGATAAGATATTAAACTTTTATTTTCAGTATTTTATAGTTTTTTTTTTATCTATTAAGTAATATTTATGTACAAGGCTATAAGCACAATGCGTTGACGGGAAACTTAATAATTTCCTTATCAATGAATGAGTCAGGGTCAACTGTTTGTGAAGGTTTGTTTTGTTTCCCTATTTACCCAAGATACGCGCTTAAAGAAGACCAATAGAGGGATGCTAAACAGGTGAATGATCTACCCTTCGCATGACCACCTCTAGTTTTGGTGACCATTCCGTAAATAAGGTAAAGTAGGTAAAATCAAGGATAATATAGTGTTTATATTCCTTGGGTAAAATGACGTCACAATCCCACCCGGAACAAGATATGACGTCATAATGCCATCTCATGCAGGATATGACGTCATAATGCCATCTCATGCAGGATATGACGTCACAATGTCACCTGAAAGAAAATACAAGGAATGACGTCATCTACAAGAATTCTATGAAGAAGCCAGATGGCGTCTAAATTAGAGATGACATCACAGGGAACTATTGTGGGGTACGGGATGTTTGGTTCACACTCAGGATGGGATGGAGAAAGGAAACTCACAATGTGCTCTCTATATACATGTTGTATTGGATGTACAGTGCAGCTTGGTGCTGGGAAGTGGCAGCATGGTTACAAGCTTGATGTAGAGAGAGCTGGTTGGTGAGGATGCTCAGAGGATGAATAGAGAATTAACATGATACAACAACTGAAAGTGAACAGCATGTACAGTATATCGTATTATAGAGAGCGATCATGTTTGACTGTGAACTTCTAATGCCAGTAATTTAAAAGTTATGAAGAGTATTCCCAGTAAGTGATAAAGTTTTACATATATTGAATACATTCTTCAACACTACACAGATGTTGTCAGTTAGTAGTCATCCACACCTTCGCTAGCTGATGTCACTAACCCTTAAGGCGTTATCACACGAGCGTTATTTCAGGCAACTCTCATCTGACAAATCGTTATCAGCAAAATAGGAAGACTCGCTATCACATGAACCTTAATTTGTTGCCGATATTACGTTGCCAGAAATAACGCTCATGTGATACCGTCAATATATCAACACACATTGATGTTTTGCAGCCACTTGCAACATTCTATAACAATGATAACTTAAAAGTCTCTGAAACATTGCTAAAGACTAAAATATAGTAATATGCAGTTTTAAATTGGATTATAAAGCTACACGTTAAAAAATTCCATCTCAATATGTGAACATCGAATTTAAAAACCACATAAATTGTTTGGGTTCGGTTAGGAATACATGAAAAGCAGAAAATATAAACAAAATCTCTTGACTGTCAACTGTAGGGGTTCAGGTTCTAGGTGGGATGAGCTGAGTACTCTAGGTGGACTGGTTGAGTATTCTTAGTGGGACGAGTTGAGTACTCTATATAGGTGGGATGAGTTGATTACTCTAGGTGGGCTGGTTGAGTACTCTTAGTGGGACAAGTTGAGTACTCTATATAGGTGGAATGAGGTAATTACTCTAGGTGGGCTGGTTGAATACTCTAGAAAATTTTCAGTTGTGGGTTAGTTGACAATCTGGCCACCAGGACTTTATCCCCTACGGCTATGGGACCAGTTGCGTCAATGACCATATTCAGGCCGAAGAGTGGTTTGACCGACCAGGCTTTAGCCAGCTGAGGCGGGTTACTCAACAAGCGGTACCTGAAACACAACACAATTCATGAAAAGCAGCACAGTAATGAAACACAAGATAATACCGAAACACAAAACAACACTGAAACAACACAATTATGAAAAACAGAATAAATAAATTGTTTGTTTTCTTCTTCTAAATCCTTCTGAGAGTAAAGTTGATTTTAGCATTATTTTAGCTGTTTGGGTAACGTATGGAACCCACTTTCTTTTAGCTTAATTACTTGTTACATCTTGTGTTGGTATATGTACAGTATGTAGGTGTGTAATCCATTTACCCATATACCAGGCATTACCAATTATATCACTCCAACACTGGGTTCCTCAATGGTATATAGGCAGCAGGAGTCATTTGCTCGCCGATAAGACACTCACGAGCGGAGGGTGTGTTGTGGTTCCTTGTTGGGGTGTCGCTTCCCAGTCTGCGGGTCAACTGTCGTCAGGATGCATCTGAGAGAGGAAAATAGAAAAAGTTCAGAACTAAATTGCACTTGAGCAAGGTGTCAGTTTATGTACTCCCTCGACCTTCAGACCCCCACCAAAAAAAAAAACAGCTCTATACGAGGTTATCATAATGCATATATGTGTGTTTAGTATGAAGAGTGTAGTCTCCCGTACTCGAGTTAGGCGACCAATATGTAACTATTTAACAACATATTGACCTTACCTCTCACAGGGCTTAAGTGTCCTGAACACCGCTGAGCCGATCTTGACAAAAGCCCAGTCATCCTCATCGTAAGCTGGGGATCCCTTCACGACGATGTTGGGGCGGAAGGAGTCCATGGTGATGGGAGATGAGAGGCGAGTGTTGAGGTCCTCCAGCGATGAGTCTGTCGCCAACATGTACCCACAGGTGTCGGCGTAGTATGCCTGCAGGGAAAAATAATAGTTACAGTAGCCAACAAAAGAGATGGTGCAGATAATGTAACAATTAAAGGAGTTATACTGTCACAAGACTCAGATGTGGCGCTCACTCTGTCTGTGGGTCGGTACTGAGGGAAGTTATAGTAGTTCAATGGTCGAGCTGTTCTCTTCTGCATCACATCCCCTTTGAATAGGAGTCGAACCTTCGTCTCCCCGTTAAACAGCACCTTAGTGAGCCACTCCGCCACCTCGTCTCCACAGTCCACTCCCTTCAGTGTTTGCTTCCACAACCTAGAGATATTTTTTGTTTACCTATGTTAAATTTCACCTGTAAGTATGTTATTGAAGTGTTTAGTTCACACACACAAACACACACACACACAAACACAAACACACACACACACAAACACACACAAACACACACACTGGCGCTCTTGATAGATTCGAATCATTTAACTCACCTGAAGTCGACGACCTGGTTATTGTTTTGAACGTCTTGAAGGTTGAACTCGACTCCCTCCTCCATCCCTGGGGCTTCGAGGGTGACAGAGTAATCCTTCACCACCAACGACACCAACAGGAGCTGACCAGTTTGTCTTCCTGTTATGAAGTTGTTGTCGTCTGTTGTCACCACCACGAACGACCTGCAGGAAGTGAGAGAGAGAGAGAGAGAGAGAGAGAGAGAGAGAGAGAGAAAGAGAGAGAGAGAGAGAGAGAGAGAGACACACAGCATCTTTTATTCATAATTGACAATACAAATTTTAGTGACCGCAATAAGTAGCTGATAGAGTGACCTATATAAGAACTGACCTGTCCTGGAGAGTGTGGTGAGCCAAGCCGTGGGTGGTGGCTTGGGCTTCCTCCGGAGACACAGGACGAGCTGACTTAAGAGGGTAGATGTTGACGTGAGATACCTCCCCCACCTCCTCCCACCTGCACACAGAAAATAGGGAAATTAATCACGAGATAAATGACGAAACCTGAAGATTAGCTCCTCCAAGTTTGTGTCAATTCAATATTAACCACCCTACCCTAACTTATCCTAACCTAACTTAACGTATATTAAACTAATATTAACAACCAAACCTAACCCACAGGTAGCATCAGGGTGTTTAATCATCAAGTTATCTTTAGGTGATCTAAAAACTGTTACAACAACAACATAATCAATGACGGAAATCAGTTACTGAAAAGTATGATTATTTAGAAAAAAAATCAGTGTAATCATAATAAACAGTGCCTAATGACGTCACAGATATGGTGACTTAACAAAGGACATGGTGACGTCACAGTAGGTATTAGCGCTAAAAGAGTGACCGAAATTAAGGTCTTAACATATTAGAAAATCGTCTCCAGTCTTTTTATCAACTACTGAGATAAAGTTATTTTATTAAAGTGACAGACACAGGTTTCATTATCCCACATTAATGGCATATTTTCTTATTACATATACGGTATATATACTGTAAAGCATTATAAATTTACCAAAACTAAATTAAAGGAAGGAAGAACAGCAAGAGAAGTGAAGGACTCATAGACCAGTCATGCACTGAGGCGATGACAGTAAGAAACGTTGCAGTATTGTACTGTACTCACTTTTCTGGTAGTTGCAGTGAGGAGCGTCGCAACACCCACCACGTACCCAGGCCCGCGCCAACACCCAGGCCCATACCAACTAGCGTCTTGTTCAGCATCTATGAGAACAAAAGTATCCTAAGCCACTCCCACCACAAGGTTTCTAAGGTAATTGTGCCACGTCACTCATGAACTCTATTCTCTCATTTAACCTTAAATTTTAACTAAGTCATGAAGGCGAAAGCCAATTGAGTTACTGTATTAACACCGACGTTCAAATTGTTTAAATCAGCTCACAACCGGGAAGATGATGTAACTGGCCCAACGACCAGTAGTTGTTTACACACTTTTCTTTCACTCATGCCCATGTTGGAGGGGCTTCTTCTATACATTAGTATATATCAGAGTTATAAAGTCAGACATGCTAGTGCATCACTCCCCCAATTCCCCGCGACCTTCTGTTCGCTAACCATTATGTTGACTTGGCTACTGCTAGATCGTCTGGTGCTCCTCCTTCAAGGTATCGTTGCAGTAAAACATGGTCTTTATTCAAATTAAAAGAGACTTCCTGAAGCCCAATCAAAGTTTTGAATATTTTGATAGAGTCGTTAGTTCAACAACTCGGAAATCTGCTCTCTCTAATAAAATAACGGTCGTACGTTGTATGTCAGGAAGACTCACTAGTATAACGTGTGAAACCCATCCATGCATGTTTCAGATGCTACTGATAAAATTCATGAGATACAGCACATGTGTTATATCACGTCAGTTTGCTTACCATTAGACGGTGAGAGACAAGCCGGTTAAACTCGTCACGGTAATCTGCCTTAACATGGAATCTAAAATCCAAGCTACATAATATTCAAAACAACATGGTTCATTCTTGACATGAAAGCAAGAGGCCACATAGGTCACGAAGTCCACTGTCCACATGATAAGTGTAGCGGATAGTGAAGCAACTGAGGCTGAATCACGCTTGCAGGATTTTTGACGGACTAAGCCCAGAATATCTAACAACAAACGTTGTAAGGATCAGGGGATATGTGAACCGGCAGGGCACTAGAGGAAATTAACACAATTTTATGGTTCACTTTTTTGCACTTATAAAGGAATGGAACAAGTTACCTGGCCACATTAAAACCAATAATATTATCAAACAATTCAAAGCTAAAACTAAGAAATACATTTTCTTCACACAAATAGATATCTGGAACAATCTACCCGCCGAAGCTGTAGAATCGAGGACAGTAGGCTACTGGGCTTCATAATTGCCCTAGAGTCTAGACAAACTATCAAGAGCAACGGAGTGCTCTTACACAGGCCACCAGCCTCTTCCCCTCGGCATGGCCACCTCTGGTTTGGATGACCATTAGGTAAATAAATCAGCGTACCGTCCTCATATCGGAGGGTTAGTGACCAGTCTCCACTCTAAACGTACTGGGAACCCAGTTTTTAATTTCATTCTCTGCCTTTCCCTGGTCCCCCTACAGCCTGCTAGACTAAAATGAAAGATTCGCCTTCATGAAAATTGTCTCTGATTGTCTAAATTTTGTCAATAGAAACGCTTAGTTTATTACGTCCATAACCTCGCGAGACCTTGAAAGTCACGCTCTGTGAATGTGAGTATCAGGAAAGAGAAATAGTGTTCTGGATTTTTATACACGGTGTGCAAATACAGCGTATGTTTGTGTGTGTGTGTGCTTGTAAAGGGTCGGCACATTTAAAAAAAAACTAACAATATTTATATTCATTTACTTGTAACCAAAATTGTCTATATTATTAATGCACATTATGGCATTACAAACATTGACGATGTCATTTTGATAAAACTGCTACATCACACGTTTGGACAGCTCGTATTGGGCAGCAAACAGACTCATAACAGTAGGAACTTACCTTATTTGAAAAAGGGGAAGCAGGCGTCAGCAATCTTCTTCTATCAAGACAGGCGTGAAACTGGCTCTGAATCAGGAGGATCTGGGCGAAGGTACGGAGTCCACATGGATGTTGTTACATAACGTATGAACATGTTTAATAAATAAAGATACTCATACCTATCAGTTGATAAAGTTACATCAAGCTTGTAATGTAACTATTATATAGTAACTAATACGATATAATAAAAAAATAAGCTGCATAAGGTTATCAGATAACGAATACAGAAGACGCACTCAGGTACGCTGGAGATATGTATATACTATAAGTGACCGCTCGTAGATTATAATATAAAAGCACTGTACCCAACTCCTCCGAATTCGACACAGTGTATGTTTTGTCTTTTCTTATTTTAATTAATATTATTTCTTACATTAAATTTCATTCCTTGGCTTGATATCAGAATAATATTTGCATAAATTTCTACCACTATTTGACAGGAAGACTTACCAAGGTCATGCTGGTTTTCCACTCTTGCTATCATGTTGTCTGGAGGGGGGCACTTGGATACCTGCAATCTTCCATAGACCCCCCCCCCTCCCTTAGGTACAATTCCATTCAGAAGTTCGTGGTACACTAGCGGTGAAGGGTGCATAGTCAGATAGTCTGTTGTACCCTCCCTGGACAACATGTCACTGCGCCGACCCTCCCACCAACACACACAGTGGAACTGACAACGGAGCAGTGATTCGAACGAATTCTCATAAACAGAGAGAGATTGGAAGGATATTAATGAGAATATCGGCCAACGTTACTGCTGATGGATGATGAAGATGTGTTAATATCTTGTTTACAAGCAAAAGTCTATTGTGATAGGAGTATCCATTAGAATATCAGAATACTTTTACTTACTTTTATCCTCTTCACCAATGATCAGCTCGTTAGCCGCTTGGGGGATCGGTCACATCTCTGATTACTTTTCCTTTTCTTTTATCCTCTTCACCAAAAGATCGGCTCGTTAGCCGCTTGGGCGATCGGTCACATCTCTATTACGCACTGTTGGCAAATACTGGGCATGCACCGGCTCCTGAATGTACCTGAACCTGCTCCAGTGTTGGTCAAGTCTTGTCTTGAAAGAGGTCACATTCAGTGCTGTCACAACACTTTTTGGTAGATTGTTCCAAGAGTTCACAACTCTCACTCAGAAAAAGTTTGAGGTTTGCCCTCATAGTTTTCTGGACTTGAGGCTTCTACAATCTTGAGCTGTGACCCCAGGACAAGTGTCCGTCAGCTCCAAGTGAAGACACTCGACTGAGTAGTGCCCCAACTTGAGATGCTTATACACCTCTATTAGGTCACCTCTTGCCCGTCTGTAGTATAAGCTAGGCAAGTTTAGGTGCTCCAATCTCTAAGGGTAGCTGAGGTGCAGAAGGGCAGGCACCAGTCTGGTGGCCCTCCTTCGAACATTTTCAACCAAATGACAGTCCCTAGCATATCTCGGGGACCAGACGGGTTGACAGTACTCCAGATGGGGAAGCACTTCACTCTTGAAGATCGTTATGAGGGACGGACCGTCTAGATATCTGAACGACCTTCTTATAAGACCCAATAATTTATTTGCCTGTTTTACCTTCTTCTCGCAATGGCCAGAGAACTTCAGCTCATTGTCAACATACACACCTAGGTCCTTCTCACATTCAATCTCAAATAGTGCAGTTTCTTCATCCTGTTGGGACATATGATACGCCTCCTTACCGTTGGTACGCCCCAGGTGCATCCTCTTACACTTTGTGACATTGAATCTCAGCAGCCATTTCTTCGACCATTCTTGGAGCCTACAGAGGTCCTTCTGCAGCTCTTCACACTCCGCTTGGTTCTTGATTTCCCGAAATAACTTGGTGTCATCGGCAAACAATAGGGAAATTAGTTTCGAATGAACAATCGCCATATGTATTATTAACAGCAGCAGTACGACAAAAACGATTAATGGCAACAATCGCCTTACATATGATTAATGGCAACAGAACAAAGAAAACAATTAATAGCAACAATCGCCTTACGTATGATTAATGGCAGCAGTGCGGCGAAAACGACTAAGGGCAGTAATTATCTTACATGTGATTAACGGCAGCAGTAAGGCGTAAGTGACTAAGGGCAGCAATCACCTTTAGTGTGATTAACGGCAGCAGTACGGCGAAAACGACTAAGGGCAGCAATCACCTTACGTGTGATTAACGGCAGCAGTAAGTCGAAGTGGGCGAGATTTATTTCTGCCATTTTATTTTGGTAGTATAATTTTGTTTTGTGATTTAATTCGGTATCTTACAAGTTGACTATTGTACATAATATACTATCCTGTAAGATACTTCAGTTTAGGACTCCAATAATTAGCGAACCTCAGGGTCCAGTTTCTCCAGTTTAGTGTTTACACATATTTTTGTAACATGGTTAAGTATATGTATAGGGTTTTATCTGTGGGATTAGTTAATTCCTCGCGGAGTTCGGAAGATGTGACCGAGCGATGTGTTAGCGATAATTAGCCTGTTTCATTGTTGACAGTAATATTATATAAATGTGGGTTAATTACATTAATTTTATATAAGTTTATATATCACCCACAGTAACTTTCCATGGGCAGTGAGATGTCATGCAGTGATCATGTGGTCCATTCACTGAACAAGTGATTGGTAACTTTCCACTGGAGGGCGCGTCTCTATTTAGACCCGAGGTCAACTATAAGAAGCCGGCTATTTGCCCCCAGTGATCACTCGGTTGATACTCAACCCTTACAAGAAACAGACGTATTGATAAACAAGCTTCACAGACAAGCTTAATGTAAATGTTTCTAACATCCATAGCTCAATTAAGGTAGTTACAGTGATATCCTTTTTGAAAGTGTACATACTCTTTTTATAATAAACCAAGAAAAGGAACATATACTGTATTGGATTTCACAACAGAAAACCCAATAAACTTTTACATGTCCTTTAACTAATCAAGAATCAATGGTTAAAGAGACAGATCAGAAGCTCCACCAAGCCAACATGAATCGGAGAGACGAGAAGTTGGTGCTCAGAGGTCGCTTTATCACTCTCCGTGATAATGGTTTCTATACAGGGTATCGCACATGAAGCTGGCCTGTTCCCCACAACTGTGATGAAGTGGATAAGAAGATGGGAGGAGAGCGGTAACCTTAACGACTTAGGTAAGTTATAACTGTCTCAGCAAAGGAGCGGACTATAGCAGCAATGATAGAGAATGAGAGACCTGCATCATATTCAAAGCTTAGGTAATGATTTGGAAAAGCTCGACCACGGAACTTTATATTAATATTTATAGAGGTAGAAAAAGGAATCCTAACCTAAGTTTATTAACAGCCAAATTCAGCATCACTATTTGTGGGTAGTTATGTATGGGTAAGGCTAAATTTTGATATTATTAAAATTTGAAATAATAATCACTGCTGTAAGCGTCTTTTCATATTGAAACTATTCTGTAGATTATGTAGTATAGTTATAGAAGTTGGCATATAATTTCGAACCATGTTTATATTTGAAATGTAAATTTACAGTTTAGGTAACCTATTGTGTCAAAATCATTCTGAATATGGGTGTGTTCTATTCTGTTAGTAGGGAGAGCAGGAGTCCCTCAGAGGACCACCCCGGCAGATGACGCTGCAATTATCACAGCAGCCGAGGCAACCCCCCTCACCAACGTGGCTATACGAGTCAGCCTGCATACATAAGAGAGATTCCCTGGGGTCAAAACATGGGTCTAGACACCAAAATGAATTCTCTTGGTGACTTACTGCACTAAGAAAGATTTTCTGATTTAGTGATTTGGCCTAATTAATATGCTAATTAGGTCAATTATGCAAAATGCTCAAAATATAGCAAATTAGCATCTGACAGTTTCTAAGTCCTCATGACCAGTACATTACATTTCCAGCATTAAACCTTATAGTACTCAACATTTCTAGGTTCACTGAAGAACATACAGGACCGGCTAGTAGACTAGTACCACTATATTGTTTACAACATGCACTGTCTGCATATTTTTTTTTAATATATATTTGCTGACAGTGAAAGTAGAATGATAGTGAAAATGGAGAAACACTGAAAGAAATGCATATGCAGAAACATCAGCAGGATTCAGTGTGTAGAGTTTTATTTTTATACAGTAAAAGTCTGCTAGGACAAAATACTAAATATTTTGACATAGTAATACAATAAAATAACATTTCTTTATATAATCCAATATCAAATACCCAAGTAATATCTACTACTGTACTGAAATATTATTTTTTGTGCTGTTTTCTCAATAATGTGACATTACAAAAGTAAAAATTATGACTCGCCTATTAACTAAGTTATGCCAACTTTAGGTGACCTTAGCAACCACTACAGTACAAGTATTAGAAGTTAATTGGCTACTAAATGTGCCATTCTGCCATATCTGTAAATTACAATACCAAAGTTGTTGGGGTTTTTTCAGGTGAAATTAGACAGACTCGACTTGAGGCCACCACAGTAGTAAGGGCACAAGTGACATTTTTTTTTTAAATTTAGAAAAAGGTGATTAAAGTTTGGTAAACATTAAAACGTGAATATCTTGGGATTTATGGTTGGATTAATCGTATGGTTGGTTCCAAAGACATTCATGTTTTAATGTTTACCAAACTTTAATCACCTTTTTATACATTTAAAAAAAATGTCACTTGTGTCCTTATTTCTGTGGTGGCCTCAGTTAATTGGCGAGCTAGCAGAACAGAACAACATCACCGCCTGTCTATTTATTCTTTACACTGGATTTTTTTTTATTTGGATAACTACACTGTTGAGCAATATAGTAAAATACAGGGACTGATATAAACAGTTGCCCGACTGTCTGATGCAAGTAAAATCCTGCTGAATGGGTTTAGTAATTTGTTTATGGTTTAATATACATGGTGGGAGATGATAGTATTTGTATATTAACTGCAGAAAATTAAACAACTTTTATACATGTAATTAAAATAAAATAAAAGTTTATCTTCCTTTCACTGAATATTAATACTTTCCTATCTTATACGAAATAATAACAGTACTATGCAGGGAGGTCCCGCTCAACGACCAACTGATGAACAAAAATTCAGTTTAACGAGTGTAGTGTTTAAGGGTATGAAAATTAAAAAGAAATTTGCTGACTTGTTCTTTTTATGGTCAACCCAAACAATGAGCAGTGTCACTCCAGGGGTGAACACCATCACCTTGGGGAAGAAACTGGATGTAATGTGACAACTGGAATTTGGGTAAAAAAGTACACGTATCCTGTACCTGCAATCACTTTCACCCCTGGTAAGTACAGTACAATATACTGAAACCATGTTTAATATTGTTAGGTTAGGTTTTATGTAAAAATTCTTTGGGCTGGAGTGCATCTATGTTTATCCCATAGGGTTTGGGTCAAACATTTTTGGGCTGGAACACATCTCAGCTTTTAACATTTGAATCCTATGGGAAAATGGGTCTTGTGAATGATAACTCACCTAAGAAGCACTTTTTCAGGAATATATATAGTTTGTTAAACAGGACCTTACTGTAACTGTACTCTACAGTTCTTTACAACAGTAAGTAGATAACAATTTAACATGCATAAACAAAATTAATCTACTCACCAAATTTAAGCATAATGTTAACAAGATAAAAATTAACTTGATAAAGCATTATGTAATAATCATGTATAACCAGTAAAAGTTTACATAACACAGCCTGAACATTATCAAAATAAATTTTATATGTACACTGGAACTTGCTTAATTCAGTACAGTACATGTATCACCTTGCTTACTATCACAAATATCTGAATACCACCTGTGATTCTGACTATACAATTGAGGCCACATAGCAGTGATAGGCAGTAAGATCCTAGCCTCCGAGGTAGTGCATGGTCAAGCAGTGGGGGCAGACCTCTCAATTCAGTTGTTTGGGGTCATGTAGTGTGTCATGTTGTGGTCCTGATACTCTAGCAAAATATGAGGTTCTTCTGAACGTTCAAGCCAACTTATCAATGATGTCTGACTGTCACAAATGTAACTATGGTGCACTGTTTTGAGAAGGCAAGTTTTTTTTTTAATGTAAATCAAAAAGCAAACATGGTCAAGCTTCAATAAGATTTATTTTGAACTGACTGTAATCATTGGGAACACTGAGTGCAGTCTAAACAAACTGGGTTAGACGAAGAAGCCCATAGCCAGGACAGGCCCTTGCTTCTCTTCTCACTCCAAAACTTTGTTTTCAGACATATTTAGAGCAACAGGAGAACTTCCATAAGCTGAACAAGACAGTGATTAAACATAAGAGTGTAAAATTTATAAGCACTGGACATCAGCCAACTTCTTAACTCAGCGTTTACAGTGTGTAGAATATGTACCGTACCATTCTTCATTCTTTGTTATGTAAATAGTGATGCTTAATGCAGGAGTTGTGAAGTAGTTTCTGATGGGTATACTGTACAGTATACAGTAATACCCTGCACGTCACCAGCAAATGGTTCATTTTTAAGATGTAGAGAGACAAGAGTTATTAAGCAAGTTCCACTGTCACTGAAAAATCTTTAAGTAGTTCATAAAAAAATGAAGCACACCGAAATTTAACTTAAGGCTAGATGAAATATAAAAGTATTTCAGTCATTTCTAATTATGCAAGTCAGCTGAAGAGCCAAACAATATATTTATAAACATCTCACTTAGTAGCTGGATCACACTTAACCACGTCGAGGTAGTCAACCTACCTAAGTGATATATGTTCAGCTATAATTTATGGTATCTGATTGATTTTGTGGAAGACCAGCTGGTCAAAATAATCCAACAGGGTCAGTTATAGCAGGCCCCATGGACAGTGACCTTTGTAAGCAGAACCTTTGTATGATCAGGTATTTTCAGGTAAAGCAGTTACACTACTCTTTCCCAAGCTCACTTTTCAAAATACATTACCTTAAGAATATCAATAAGTGGGAAATTATGACAGTAAATGAAGAGAAGGTGTACTGTATCCACTTTTAGTTCTGCCCACAAATATAACCACAGAGAAAGAAAAAAACGTTGTCACCCTAAATTCAAACTGGGATGGTGAAATGACCACGAGAACAATGTAATTTTGTCCTTACTCCAAGCAATGGTCAGGGGGACAAATTGGCTCTTTCTCATAAATTTTGGATACCTGAAACTTCAGATCTTCCTGATGGTATTCAAGAGCTATGATGAAACAGCTGCTACACAATTTATGGGATTTAGGAACTATAGGAAATATAGTCCTCAAACGCGAAAAAACTAAATTCCTCGGAGTTCTTGTTGATGAGAAACTTAACTGGAGAAACCACATACAAGCCATTCACAGTAAAATCAATAAACAGTGCGGCATCATGTATCACACTTGACAGTCACTCACTCTCACAGCAATGAAAGAAATCTATCATGATCTTGTTTACCAACACCTGATACACTGTCACACACTATGGGGGGCCTCTGGCTCTTCAAAAACACAATCTCTGGTTACTTCACAAAAGAGAGTTGTACGGACAATGACCTACTTGAAAAAAACAGATCACAGAAACGAAAAATTTGCTATATTGAAATTTTTAAAATTCGAGGATATTAACACTTACTGCTGTGCCCTCTTTGTTTACAAATCTATCAATCACTTGCCTGATAATAATTATTTCCAGTTCCTGAATAATCAGAGATACAACTTAAGGCACCCAGAGCTACTAAGACCACCCCCCCTCCCCCATGTGCTTCTCTCAGTCCCTACCTCCATAAAATATCACGGTGTGAGGGTGTGGAACAACTTACCCCCACACATCCAAGCAAAGACTACACTCCCTTCCTTTAAATCATCTCTAAAAAAATATCTATTGTCGAAGTATTAATATTTCTTGTAACACTTACTATATTTACAGTACCTGCTTTTATTGTACCATCAAAACCATTTTATCGGAAATTATCATGTAAATAAATAAGTAATTACCATTGCAATAAACATAATTGCCAACTAGACATAATCCTGACAGCTCTGTCCTCTTGTTCAACCTTATTACTGTACAACTCAGGTTGTACTGCTCCCCCATTATACTATACTTTTGTTTTTCAATTCCACTGTAATATATATATATATATATATATATATATATATATATATATATATATATATATATATATATATATATATATATATATATATATATATATATATATATATATATATATATATATGTGTGTGTGTATATATATATATGTATATGTAAGTGTATATGTATGTATGTATAAATAAATAAATAAATAAATAAAAAATAAAATAAATAAATATTGAAGTGATAACCGAGGTAACAGTATGAGATGTACTTATTACCACCATGCTATTGTACTATTCCAGATGATACTAAATGTTACATAATACTTCCTTGAGATAAATGTATAGTATATATCAGGTGCCTCAAAGAGAGCTCAGGTTCTCAACTGGCTCAGCCATGTTAATATTGTTATTATTATCCACTCTGTATCTGTATTTTTCTGGCTAAATAAAATGTTTCAATTCAATTCAGTGAGAAATTATAATGGTTTTTGTTTCAGTAAGCATAACATGAGGAAGTAGAGTGATCTGGAAACTGGATTAGGCTGAGATAATGATACAGTATTAGTTCTCTTATGCAGTGTACAGGAATGCAGTCTTATGTATGGAGATCACAGAAAAAAGGTACATGCTTAAAAGAAAATGTTTCATCCACCAAGAACAAAATGTGAGATGATGGTAAGAGATAGTCAAAATAAAATTAAACCAATTCCAGATAAATAGCACCACTAGTCTATTCAATTGTTTGTGGGACTCACTTTCACAACTAAAATCATGTATGTCAAAGAATAAACTTCAACTATGAGCTTCATTACTATAGTTTGTCTTACTGTGATGCAGTACAGTACATACAACCTCCTATTCCCTATATTCTGACTTGGGAAGGTTAACATCCCTCCTGGATCCTTTTTCCTTAACTCCCATACCTATAATCAAAACATACCTAAATACATTATAAAATAAATTGGATAGAAAGCAACTAACAAAACACATGACTGTATCAAGTGGACATTGTGTGTACTTAAGTAGTCTTGATACAGTACCATACAATTGCACCTAACATCCATAATGATTCATTTCTTGAGATTGACTCAAGTGACCAAATCTATGTTAACACATCTGAGTGGCTCACTAATGACAACAAAATATTCTATACTACAACCATAATAACCAAATTTTTCACTTGGCTATTATGAACAAATTCAATGCTTTCTTATTTCTTGTGTACTACCTATACAGTCTATCCCTTTCATAGTGCAGACACTCATGCTGAAAATATACTTAAAGAGTTACAACAACACTAGTGTACAGTATTTAGAATGGTATCAAAATGTGTTACAAATATCAATAAAACTTCTTTACCACTTTCACTTTTTCATCATAAAGTACTGCTGAATAAATTTTTTTAATAATTTAACTTTGAACAAATCGGAATGGAAATTCTTTATATGAAAAACAAAAAAACAAAAAACAAAACTAAATAAAATCAACAATGCAATTACTGTACCTATAAACTATATGCTATACAATACAGTATACTCAGGGTGCCCCATAAACAGCTGAAAGTCAGATGGAACAGTTGCAATAATATTCAGTCATCAATGTCCATGTTTCTCTTTCAATTAATACACTGTATTTGGAGACGATGTATGATTTTGTCCGTAACCTCTGTTAGATTTTCAAATAATGAACAGCAAACTCAACATTTGGTTAGGCACAAAGTTTGAGTGTTTAATTCAACCTCAGATAACCCCGGCAGAAACTCTCCCCTTAATTAAACTTCCTCTCCCCTTAACACACACATCCTTGGATGAGCTACAATATCATATCACTAATGCTATTTGCATCACATCCCATACCATTAGTGCAAATGTTTGGACAATTTTACTCAACATCTCCAAACATGTATACTGAAGCAAAAGGGGGGCATGTTGAATAATAAACACATATTCAAACATTAATGTAACTATTCCATTAATATGTAATTAAATAAATAAAAATGGGTAAAAAATTTGTTGATTTTTTCTAAACTACAGTACATAAAGCAAATGCTTCTCTTTACAGTCCACATGTATTGTATTGTTATAACATGTGTCTAAACTCCAGTGCATATATATTCATATATGCATTCAAGTTTGTGCATACACATATATGCTAGATAATTTTCCAATATGAGTGAACAAAATGATCATCAGAACTCTAACCCTGCTTTATAAAAAAAATTTCTGAAGGTATCGACAATTTCAAATACTGTACCTGTACAGTATGTCATATAAACTTATGTCCATCATATCAATCAATATACTGTATGTATGTACAACTGCATGTGCACATTTGCACAATACCAATGTGCACAAACAATGAAGGAATGTACTGATAAGTCATGATCAAACATTAACCCCTTCACTATGAAACACAACTTTTAATATTTTATTTGGCTGACACCAGACAATTTTATTTAGCAGAGAAAGGTGGTTCATACACTACACTACCCATACCTTAAAATACCCCAAAATAAGACCACAAAAACAACATGAACTGAATAACTTCCTTGGTCAATCAAGGTCCTCAAAATTCAGGGTACAGTAAACTACCGGTATTAGACAAAAAATACCTTTCTCAGCGGATTAAACTTTGGAATGTTTGTTCAACCCCATAATAAGAGACTTGGATATGTACTCATAACAAAAAGTGGTTTTCTTTTAGAATGCTGACTTCCTGAACATTAAATCTATGTGTATGTTCATTCCAAACCAAATTTAAAGGTGAACCCATGGTCACAGAACTAATTCTGTTGCTTGGAATTTGTATCAGAGGCTCCTAAATTTGTGCAAACAGCATCAATGGAGAGACTAGGTCAATTCATATTTATTTAACTGGAAACATAATGATAATTAATTTACAGAAAGAGCAACCTCATTTCCAGAAAACATTGTCATTTTTGTAAGTCTCCTTTAGTCCTCAATAAATTTCTTCAAATGTGCTTGATATTTCTGGATGTCACATAGCTGTCTCTGGTTACACTTCTCTTGACAAAACTAAGTAAACTCAGACATTCGGCAGAAAGTATGTTTGAAACATTGTGAATAAATATGTCCTCTGACCATAACAACAGGTCACTTCAATCCATTTTTCCACACATCCTTTTGCACTGAAATATAATCCCTGAATTCTATAAAACCATGAGCAAATATAAAATTCATCAGGTTATACCAGACGAATTTAAATTCCAATGCAGGAAAAATAATGGACATGTAATGACCACTTTCCACAAATGATGTGTTACGTGTGGCAAGATATATTTACTTTTACTGCCACTAGTTCAGGTAAACTATGCCAAAACGAAGATTCAAACCCACTCTGGATATAAAAAAAAGTTAAACAAAATACACCAGAATAAATAATTTCTGAGAAATATTGTTTACAGAAAATAAAGACTTACACAGTAGTATGGGTTATGATACTACCCCTACTGAAAATTGCTGGGTTTAGTAATATGTAAACCTACAAATCAACTTTAAGTACTGATAAGTTTTACCTTGGGGTCTTTGGAGAGGAATGTGACACAATTACTGAGTTGGCTTTAAGTCCACAGCATCATTCAAGTGTAGTGACAACTGTATGATATGCGTGTAAATATAGTTGTGGTTATGACAGATGTATACTGTACCTCAGATATGACATTGATGTATACAAGACCATTCAGTGATTCAGAAAAAACAAGATTCTTTTATAAATCTTAAGTCATCATATTATCAGCTAAATGATGTGACTGGTATGTGCAAACAACTGATAAATAATGAAAAACGTCACAAGGGTCACCATCAGTCATAAGTGACTTGTCTAGCCACTTAAAGTTCTAACTTGTATATGATACTGTACAGTACACTGATGTGAGCACCAACAACCCCAGGTTAAGATACTACTACAGTACTGTACTTAGTGGTTCTAACACAATCTACTGTGAACACAGTTAACAATAAATAATCAAAGAAACAGGTGCTAACTACCCTACACTACATAAACTTGTGCTGCAGTCTGTATGCACAAAAGCTGTGTGTGCATGTGCACACATGTGTGCGTATGCGCGTGATATTAATTACTTGCTTTACTTGCTCTACTTTAATGTTCTTTGATTGTCTTGTATCCTTCAATGTATTTTTCTTATTGTCATCTCTACATACAACATGCCTAATGAACCTGATGCTTATTCCTTTTTACACTTCTTCTGGTTTGGCTGTGGCTGTGACTGTTTCTCTTCCCCAGACTCACCAAACTCATTTAGGCGGCTCTTGTCAACTGGATACAGCCTAAGACAAAAGAAAAGGTAAAACTTTTCTGAGAACATTTCTTTACACCAACCTTTCAGTAATTCTTCATGTATATACCACTACCCGGTAATTCTGTTATAAGTGGCAATTTGAAATAAAAAAATGTCTAGACCATTAACATCATGTTTTAACTACAGTACTGCAACCACTTGAAAGTATGAAACTTCAGAATTCTTTTTAACTCTTCCTATCTATTTTGAAGGATGGCATTTTCTTATGGTAACTTCAGTGCAGAAGGAAGTTTTACTTGGCCCTAATCTTGTTTGACTCAATATTTTCTAACTACGGTAAATACATGGTATATAAATCCTAGATATCAAAGTAAAGAAACTTAAACAATTATATACATTAGACTATCATCGCTCGTCAACTGTATAAATGGAAGGATGGTTTTGAAATTGCATCTTATGACCGAAACTGCTCCAGGCAGCTCATGTACTATAATACTGGATCAAGACAAATTCACAAATTGAAAACCCAGGCAAACCTTAGACAATCCTTGCTAGTGGTGCCACAATAACAAAGAGGAGTCTGTCTATCACTTCATGCCATACTGTATACCAAGAGTGTCAAACACAGCTCTTATTTCTTGATGACTTCAAAAATGTTCCAGGAGAGAAGGGTGGGATTCAAGTTAAGTGGTCTAATCTTCATCATAAAACTGAATTTCAGGATCGATCCTCCACTTATAACCGAGCACCTGGACTTATTGAGTGAAACTTATGAGACCTAACTTTTGGGGTTCTACCTGGTGTACCTGAAGCTTTATTGGCTCTTCATTCAACCACTGGGCCAGGAATTCAAATCATAATTCATATTTGGTTTACTGTACTGGGGAAGGAGCTGGTCCACAGTAAGAACCATTGTCTATTTTCTGAGTAATTCCTACCACTAAACTTATCAGACATCTATCAAAGGCAGGTACTGTAATAAGGTGGTGGTTTAGATCACAAGACACACAATGAAGACCCATAAACTACAGAAGAGCTATTATTTGTGGTTAATGTTGAATGGGGTTTACAGGAGAAACAAATATGAAATGTGTACTAGATATGGTCTAGTAGAATAAAAGATCCTAATTTACATCGCATGTTAAATGTGGTTTACAAAGACAAATTTCTCTCACTTCATGTTGCAGTATAAATGTGAAGTTATTACACTGCCATCAGATATATAGAGTGAGACAAGAGAATATCAACATACCATCTCTGAACAAGGTAGATGACAAAGACTATGTCGTCCCTGAAACATGCGACTCTATGGGCTGTTGGCATCGTGATGATGAAGGCAAACAGATCATCTATAAATGTGTTGAAGGCCTGAAACAAAAAAACACCAATTAGCTTCAAACATATTTTTGATATAACTAAACAGATATATGTCCATTTTTTTACAAACAACAAAATTATATGAGAAATTTAGAGCAGAAAATATAATATTCTAATCTTGGTTCATAATATAACACTAAATGGGCAACAGTAGTTCAATCTAGCTATAGCACTCTCTCATTTAAGATACCAAGCTTAGGTCAGGTTCAGTTAGGTAAGGCTTAGGTTATGGGAGGTCAAGTTAGGATCCTATTCTTAAAAACTTGTAACACAATTACAGTACTGTACTGTATTTGTATTTAGAACTGGTGACCTTTTGACCTTAACAATACCTCCAAAAGTGAATCGTGTCAACACCTTTGCATGTGGTGTTGTGTAGTTTTGGCCAATATTCATTCATCCTATAGTGAGATGAGTTCTATTCTTAAGATATAATGTGTATAAGACTGGAATGATGAACAGATATCCACATATCAATATGTCTACACTTTATAGTTTATACTGTGGCCATAAAAATTAAATAGCAAGTGTTTTGGATACTGAGAATACAGTCCACTGGCTGTATGATCCAGTCACTGGGTACTGTAAAGTAAGACAAGTTACTATCCTTACTTTATACATGAAGGCTTTCCATGGTAGATGTGCAACACTCTTCAGCTTGTAGTTAATAAACAATTGTGGAAGCATAAAGAGGAACCCGAAAGCATAAACACCATTCACCAGGCAGTTAATCACCCAGGAGTACCAACTGCAAATAAGAAATGCAATTATCCTCCAGGAAATAAATTACCTCCATCAATGGAGTGTGATTTTGCTACAAGAAACATTCATTGAAATGTTTAGATGAAAATGGATACAGAAAGCTGCTATGGAAATTTATTGCACTAAACATATCATTAGTTCAGTCCTAACTAACCCAGTCATACAAGAAACTACAGTTCTAGCCTACTTAACATTTATGCAAAGCTCCTATTTGTGTGGTCTTTCACTATTTGTCATATAAAGAAATCTACAAAACACATTATCACCTTAAAAACATAGCTGCACTTCATATTGTACTGCAATATCTTTAGCTTACTGTACCCTATGAGGCTCGCTCACTAGCTGCTGAACAAGCTTGGTTAATGAGTCCTCTGCAAGTCACTTTAGATGTGCTTTAGGGGCAAAAGTGTCAGCCTTACTATGCAAGGACCATGAGAATGCACTCTGTATACACATGTTATGACTTACATGCTGTGTAATAGCTCTTTGCATATCATAATGATTTCAAAGCACCATATGCAGTCATCTGGTGATGCTATAACTAGCAAGAAAATGAGACATTTCAACTTAAATCTGTCCACCTGCCATGCACCACAGCTGGTTGCCATGTTGACCACCACACGCCACCATCACCATCCATCTCTAAAGTGTGGTACTTATGAGCTTGAATTTTGTTGTTTCTTTCGTTTCTAAAACATGATCAGTATTATTAACTGGTAATGCAAAATTTCATGTAAAACCTATTCTTTTATGCACAGCACTGTACAGTTTTAATTTTACACATACAGCAGTTAAATGTACACTAGTGATTATCCATATTAGACAAACTATAATTGTATAGTATTACTGGTCCCTCAGTAAATGAACAGTTCGATTAACCAAATTTCGGTTAACGAATTACCTCCCATAAGGATCTTCAATTCGGTTAACGAACAAAACTTCGATTAACGAAATCCTTACAAACAACACATTTTGTTGTGAGCATCAGCTGATGGGCTAGTCTGCCAATTCAGTAATCTGTTCTATGTTTATATTCGTTTCCAGTGGAGTAAATATCAAGAAAGTTGTGTTCTTTAATATTATTGCAGTTTTTATATTAAAATTATTAGTCATTTTAAAATTTAGTTAACATATTGATAATATATGCAGTACAGGGAACTAGATTTTGTGCGCCCATCAGCCACTTGACTCAGTCACCTGGCGTCAGTTTGGCTTTGTTGACAGTGTAGTGAACATCGATTTTGTTGGTGTCTTGAATATTTTTGCATTTTTACATTGAAATTATTGGTCATTCTGAAATTTAGTTAACATATTGATAATATATAGCGCAGTGCAGTGTTGATTTAAATGAAATATTCTTGAATTAAACCTAGTGAACTTAAAATTTTATTGGTGAAATGACTGCATCAAGCATGGGGGTCCCCTGAAAGGCGATTTCTCCTCCATCCCCACTTCCTTCTCTTCTCCCTTCTCCTCCACCCCCACTTCTAATTCCCATCATCATCATCAATCAGGAACCTTCTACAAACACACCTCAAAGTAGTGTACTTTACTGCATTTTTTTTACTTTGTATGTACTTTTCTGTGAGCTGGAACCAATTACCCAATATCCCATTGAAACAATGGATTCGGTTAACGAACGGCTCTGTGGAACGAATTGTGTTCGTTAATCGAGGGACCATTGTACTGTAATTATATTGTATAAAAGCCTCAAGAATTAAGGTTACATTTCTTGATCAATGAGTTTTGTAGTGACATATCTGGTAAACCAGCACCTCCATTCTATGACATACCAGGTAATACAGCTTTTACTGCATCATAATATTTCTAAAATTAATTTATCACAGGTAACACATACAGTACTAAATTATCTATAACTTCATATTTGGAAGGAGGACAATGGTTCATGTCTTCAGGTTTAATAATTACAGGTACTGTACTTACATATACAGTAACCCATTTTTCATATTATGAGATTTCCTACAACACAGCCTTGTACACGAACATAACTCTCACATTAAACAGACTTCTACTACAATATGTAAACACCTTCCTTGAAATGAAAGACTTCAGTGCAAACTCTATACAGGTCACCTCATATGCAATCTTCTGTTTCCCTCTTGTCTACAATTACACTATCATAGTATATCACCTTCATGAGACTAGCATTCATCACACCTCTATAACATCATGACCATCATACAACTGTGTCTTTCTATAGATGTTCACCTCAAAATTCACTGCCTAGTATGTACACAATTTGAAACAAAACAAATTACCTTTTGTGAGGAGTGTACATGAGAGAGTACACAGCACCACCAATTATTAATGGGTAGAGCAAATAGCTGAGATATTTGATTCCTTGTGAGTCTAGCTCTTGGGTGGCACTCTCAGCAGAGGTCCTTGAAGTATGGAATCTTGGACGCCAGCCATGAAACTTTATATGGAAAGCCTTTGTTACTTTCCATAGCTGTTGGGGAACAAAGATTTAACTGCTTCAACTTTTGTACTGGTATAATATTGTAATAGTGTAAAGTTCATCTCAAGAGGAAGTTTATTTATATTTAAGAACTTCAATATCATTTACTATTTGAATCTCCTTAAAGAATAAACTTGTATAAAGTCTTAAAAAGGAGTGTTTATGTTTATTGTCTCCAGCCTAGTCTTCACGCACCTCAATGATTCCTCCCACCCCAGCTGGCACTAAGACCAACATGCTTGTGTTCTCATCCATAAGGTATAAAAAGATAATTATCTGGGAGATGGCTCGCCATGCAACAGAAGAAGTAGAGATCCCAGCCATGGTCTTACGTGTCCGCCAGAATGATATATCATTTTTGAAGGCTAGGAAATCAAACAGCATCTGGAAAGTGAAGTGAGTTACTGTAGATGAACATGTGTGGGTAGTTATAAAATTATATACAAAATACATTTTTCTATACTGTAGAGTACAGGTATTTTCATTTTGTTAGTCGGCCAACTTTGTATTATGGCTGAGTAAACTAAAGTCATAGGAGAAAAAGATAAGTACTGGTCAAAAAGACCCAAGAATTTTTTTTTTTTTCATTGAATGAAGGATGTCTTACAACCATGGTTTACTTACATGCAGGGCTGCAACAAGGAATGTTATAAAAAGAAAGTAGAGGTTTGTGTCCGAGAAAATGCCCTTCACTTCATCCAGATCTTTGGGTGTGAAACCAAGGTGTGCCATTGGTGTCAGGGCCCCTTCAAACTGCATCCATAATCTGAAAAGTTCATGGTCAAATACTGTACAGTGAACCATAATTATACTGTATGTACAAGTATATTTGTATGTCTCATACATGTGTCCTGAATCCCAACCCAAATGGTTCAGAAGACACACACCACAGAAAACTTAATATTAGTTATTAAAATCATTTATACAGTTGATATATCACTAACTTCAATGACACAAAAGAGTACACCAGTTTCAAATAGTTCAAACAAAAGGTCTATTTCCTAATTCATATGATATACTGTACTACAGTTCAATTGTCCATGTTAGTGACAAAATCAGAGGAAATCGTGAGTCAGCATTAATGATCATTTTTAACATGTTTTTGTCTTGTACTGTGGTATAGTATGCAGTTTGGTACCTTAGTTTTTAAAAAATCTATTTCTAACCCTAGAAGGGAAACACCTTTATTAACCGTGACTCTAAATTACTGTAGTTAAATATATGGGTAGTAATATCTTGTAAAACAGCATATAAAAGCAGGTTCTCATAGTTTAAGACTATAAGCAAAACAGCAGAAGGAAGTGCCTCTTTGATCCAACAAATGTTGCACCATAGTGTGTATGAGGGGGGTGGGCATGGCAGGGAGAGGGGGTGTGAGTGGAGGAAGGGTGTGTATGGGCAGTGATTGACAGAACGAAATCTTCATTATACTGATAACATTAGGAAGGTGATGGTGATGGTTCACAATGTTAAAGATAGTAACAAAGCCTTCGAATATTCAAACCGCACAATATAAAACATAAGACAAACAAAAAACAGCGAAAACTCATATATCGTACAATACCTTAATTTCCCGTAAGATATAGGAGAATATTTAAGAGTAAGGTTCGCTTCCACCGAGGATGACTTCACTTCTACCAGATCACGAAGTCGAGCACTCAGACGATCAACGTAGAGTATTGGTAAGTAGCGACCACTGGAATGTATCCTGCAACAACAATTTTTTTTTTAATATATACACAATTGATTTTCCCTTAACACAAAATACAGGCCAGAAATATGGGTTGTGGATTTAACCCTTAAGCCCCGGGTTAGGGTGCTGCTGACAGTACCCCCCCCTCCCCCCATGCAGGGATAAGTCGAGAAAGAAAATCAACTTTTCCAAAAATAATTATAAAAAAAAAATAACATGGTGGGAAAATAGGCGGACGTTCTGGAACGTCACCCGGGGCCTAAGGGTTAATGAATAAGTAAAGTTAAATAAGTGAAGACTTTTGACATGTGGAGATGATGACAACTGACAAGGACAGAACAATGAGGCAAAATGGGCTATAACGAAGTGGAAAGATAACCATCTTGAAGGCCTTTTTGTTATGACTATCACAATCACAGAGAACATATTTAATTACTAATACTGTACAGGTATACTGCAGAATTGTTACAGAAAATATCTTTGTATCTCTAAACCAATATCATAAATTCTATTTCCTGTGCTTAGAAGTGTGGAAGATCAGTCACTTTTTCCAACTTTACAATAAATACAAACCTCAAGGAATGGCCAATGTCATAGGGCATCTCTTTGCGTGGAAGACTGACAGTATGGGTGAGAACGTTGAAAACCACTACTGACTGGAAGTGTGTTACGGGTTTCTGTTCGTGGTCAGATGGCTTCTCCTCCTGTAATAAGATACACGAAGAGAATAAATACACTTTAGAATCCATGACCTTCATATATTACAAAATATCTCCACGAAGTTGTTTACTCCAGTAAACCTTAGTAAGATACATTGTAGCAAACTGAACAAGACTTAGGAATTAAAAGAGAAATTGTGTAAATAATAAGAGTTGATTAAAAAAAATAATGATAATGCACATAACAGTTACATACACTTAATGGTTAACAGAAAATCAATTGGTAAATAAAAAAAGTCAATTAGCCAGGAAATGAGTTCAAAAGCGACATCTAAAAGCAGCTAAAAAGTAAGCCAGCTGTGGATTGAGTGACCGATATAAATTTGCCCACTTTTAACATTCTTACCAACCATTATAATTCTTCACAAGAGCTGACTGGTTGCTGGCTGCTAAGGAAGTCTATAATATCATGTTAGCAAATTCATGGGCATTTTCCTTTCTGATGATAAGTTAAATGGAGTTTTCATGTTAAAAAAATTCAATTACCCTGTACTGGAGGTACTGTATACTAAAATTTGGAGAAAAAAAACATTTACTTTACTGATGAAATGTTGCTTCTGACTCAGCAACCAGTACCCAATCATGAATTACAACTATTGGTAAGAAAGCTAAAACAGGGGGGATAACTTAGTTGGTTTGGCAATCATCAAACAAGCCAACAGTAAAGCCACCCTTACTGTAACCTAATAAGCAATTCAACTCACCTTTTCATTCTCCTTGCCAAGTAAGTTGAAAGTTGTGGCATCAGGAATATGGAATTGTGTTAAGTGAGCCATGCCGTACACAGAGAGCTCGTCATTCACCACACTTCCCCAGTCCTAGAGTAGACACAGTGATTGAGTATACAGCCCATTACTGTAAAAACCATCCAGCCAAATTGATACCTGATGAATTACATGGGAAACAAATTTGATTTTTACTAAAATGAATCCTTGACAAAGAATAAGGTTAGGTTTCCATGGGGTCTCTCATTACATATTTACTTATCCTCTTCACCACTAGTCAGCTAACTAGCCAGTCAGGTGATTGGTCTGTTCTCTGTTATGCAAGTATGGCTCTTGAATGTATCTAAGCATAAGCCTGTTTTAGTCTGTCTGATCCTAATGATCTACATTACTACATCAAACACTTCACTTATAAACAAAACCATGATTCTCACATCCGGGTCAACTCCACTCGAGGTCAGGAAAATGTGAAGGTACATTGTGCCATTGTTGCGAACTTTCTTGGGTATGGGCACCAACACGACTGTCTCCTTCTCCGTGGAGTAGTCAAACTCCTGTACTTGGTGAACCAGACGAAGATCACTTGCATACTCGGGCATTATTTTCTGTGACGTAAATGCCAGCAACTGTTGGAAAGGGCAGTAAAGCTCAGTGATAGAAGAGTAAACTGTAATAGAATGTCAATTTAACTTTATCCATAGCTTATACTGACATGACAAACAAGTGACCTTAATATCTAAAAATTATGTCACATGTAGACAAGCTCTCACCATTATAGATACCAGTGAGAAAATTGGAATTATGAGGAATAATGATAAAACTTGCATCAACATATGAGCATGCATGGAAGCATGTGAGAGGCCGAAGGATGGCTTGCCACCCTACGCAGCAGGATGTGTCATAGCGTTTAAGAGACTCATAAAGGCTTCTCAGTAAAACTCTCTACAGTATACTGTAAATTTCACAGAAAATTGTTCACATATAAAAATTAGTGAATGAAGATACAACTGCTGAAATAATCAATATAGAACAATCAAAACTTGATTCAACCTAGATTACCTCAATATTGTACCTCTGTAAAAAAGAATGAAGTTTACTTCAATTATATCTCCAACTACTTTTGTGGATGAAGGGATAATGAAGTAACAGAGCTAAACTTAATATTTAGCATAATACCTGTAGTTACAAACCTGTAGTTTAGGGTCTTGGGCAATAAGTGGATGTATGCACTGGGTTGGATCTGGACAGTTGGGAGGAATGAAGAGCTGGCCTAGAGTCCATGTTGACTGGATAACATAGGCCACAAATACACCGCATATAATGGTCGTTAAGGAGGGAAACTGGTAGCCTAATGCCATCTTCAGCAAGCCTGGAAAAAATGTTTTGTACTTATGAAATAATACACTAACCACACAAAAGACAATACAGTACAATAAAAGATGGTTAATATTGACGAGATACCCACCACCGTCGTGTTATTTGTTTTGATGTTTCTTTTCTTACTATATTTTAATCAGTGAATTTGGATATGATACTCATGTCTTGGGCAAATACTTTGTTTGGTGTATAATTAGGCCCCAGGCTTGCATCAGCAGCACTACTTTGTCTTGCACGGAGATAAATCGATAAAGCACTCGATATTGTCCTATGCTCAAAGTATGTTTATGAGCCGCTTGGTCAGGGCAGTTTCTTTCACGTCCTCAAAAAACATAAAATTACACCATATCAGTCAGTTCTTTCTGTTTAATATGCCAGAGGGATTAGAGGGCAGAGCCCCACAGCTAGGAAGTTATGTAAGATTAGGTGGGTTTCTTTGGTTAGGTTGGTGAGGTCGTCTAACAATGCTTGTACCACTTGTTTTTCTTATCAACTAAGGTTAAGTTTGGTTTAATTTAGAAAAAACACTTTTTAACACATTTCCACAAACCACAACAGTGTCCATTACAAAGCACAGCAAAATAGCGGCATTTTTAAAATAATTTTCTATGTGAAAACAGCGACGGGTATCTCTTCAATGATTGTCTAAAAGACTAAGGAGAGTACAATACATATTTTAGAGCTGTTTATTTTTTGAAAAGATCTATAATTTACAATACTGTACTACTGTAACATGTTTGCTTTAATTTATACAGTTAAATGAAAATATGGAAAAAAAAAATAAATAAATAAAACATACAGTACAGGTACTACTGTGAGGGAACATAAATTGAGGATTGATATAAAATCCTACTTTCTAGAACAGCCCATAGACGAGCTGGTTACCAGGGATTTTTTGTGTGAAGGATAGGCTGAAAAGAAAGAAAAATACTGCAATACATATTGTCATTTCAATTCTATTACTCAGTATCATCCAAAGAACACCTGGAAAATACAAACGAAATACAAAAATGTGTTCGGGTGCGGTAATCATTTACGACTTCAGTCGCTGACTTTTCATAGAAAACGAATTTAAAAACACCGCAATTTCACTATTTTACAGTGAACACTGTCGTAGTTATATGGCAAATGTGTTAAAAAGTGTTTATTTAAAAGTTCAAGTCAAGTTAACCTAACCTTAAACTAACCTAATCTTAAACTAACCTAATCTTAACCTAACCTAATCTAGCATAACTTAACACCTGCCGTGGGCGAACTTACTTATTAGCCAATCAGAAATATTGACAGTTATACTGCAGTATTATTTGGCCCGAATGGACAGTTTTTCAGTTGGTGGTAACATAATTTGAAGGCCAATAAATGACATTTTACAATCTGAATTGACAGTTGTAAAACATAAACTGGTTAATATTTAGTAGTTGCTACCACCTGTCCTAACTGAACACTGTATGGAGTCATATATGGGGATATAGAGAAAAATTAAAAATAATTTATTCTATAATGTTTCCATTGGAAATTTATAGTTTTTGATTTATTTTAACTTTTATTTCAAAATATTTGGTCAATCAGTGTGTTGATGTGACGTCATTAGTGCCAATGTGATGTAATACTCGTGCGCTAATCAGCACGTCTCCATTCACGGGCAGGTGGAAGATGGCGTCTGTGTGAGAATGATGTACATTGGCTGGTTGGCACATTACTCAGCACATTTTGGACAATGAAGCAGCAGCCATTGACAAATTTAGGGCTCACGGTGTTCTTGTTCCATCTGTAAAGTGTCCAAGGTGTAACTCACGGTGTCAGTACCGTGTAGATCATCATGCATGGTACTGTGGTTCGAGACGGACACTGACGAAGACACCACTTCCTCATTCAAGTTGCACTAGTGATTAGGTTAGGTTAGGTTATATTAGGTTAGGTGGTAAATTTATAGTTCACACAACTTTGTTAGAAAGTCAAAAATATGTTTATTTATTGTGTATTTTTTTTCTGTGTGTTTAGAATGCTCCTGAGCTTCAATTCCACCAGAAATTGCCTGTTTTTTTAGTTATTGCCCCCTTCTACCCCCAACAAGATAGGGGATCCTGTTGGGAACTGGGGTTTTGGGTGGGGGAGAGAAACAAGCATTTTCTGACAAAAAACATGGCCAAATGAATACAAAACACAAAAAACACGAGAAAAACATATAAACCTAACCTTTTTTGGGGATGACTTAACCCAACCTAACCTAACCTATCCTATCCTGTTCGGGTTTTTTCCAAAAACACGTAAATAAATCCATACGTATAATTGAGGTGACACCCATCGCAAACTGAATCTGAGTGGGTAAAAAATACCACAAATTCTAAAAGCAGAAACCACAATTAATTTTAATTGGTGAAAAAAAAAGAACACTTTTGATTGACCGCGTGACGTGTACGGGAACGCATGCACATGACAATTTATGAAGGGAAGATTAATGGAATTAAACAGAGAAAGATTTGGCATGCGCTATCTCTGTTATTATACGTTTCTGACAGTAATGTAATAGAAGAAATTTATCTTAAAATTAGACGTCTTTGTTTAATATAATAGATTTGGGGTAGGAATGTTGAGTGAACTACTATAAAAATACCGGTTTGGTTAGGTTGTTTTTTCTTCAGTTTTTACGTTGTTTAACCTTCTACTTTTCTTTAATATCTCGACTACTGCTCATTTCCGATGGCAAAGAAGGTCACATTTGTATTTAACATGGTTTACACTATAAAAATATATTATCAAAAGTCAATTAGGTGGTGGCAAATGACGTAGGAGACATACTTTGAGTTGGAGCATCCGCAGTTTTATTTTTTGTTATATTTGTCAGTTCATGTTTTACAACTGTCAATTCTGATTGCAAAATGTCACTTATTGGCCTTCGTACGTCACCACCAACTGAAAAACTGTCCATTCGGCAAAAATGCTATACACTATTAACTACCTTAACATTACTTGACCCACTGCAACTTGAGACAAATGTTTATTCACCCATTATTATACCCTTAAGAACAATATTCCTTAACTCAGCTCTAGTCTGTTCTTCTACACCTACATTGCTATTTTGATTTTTTAAACAGATATATACGTAAGGAAAATATAATACCAATATGTCTCAGTGATTACCTCCCAAGTGACTGTGCCGGGAGTTACGCTATCCTAAGGTCATATAATCGATCTGAGACACTAATTCATGCTTATGATTAATTTTTAGTTCCAATATATACGTTATTTTAATAAATAGAATATAAATTAGATAGTTTCTGAAGTTTTGTAGACATTATATACAAAATATTACCTGTTAAATAGTTGTCATTTGGTTTAGAAGCTTTTCATAATACGGAATTAAGATTTTAAAATCAAGAGGGTTGTTAGCTTTTAATTTAATGAACTATATAAGAACAAGTTAAGTCTAAAGTTACTTAATTTTTAACTTGGTAAAGAGTGTATTCGATTCGATTTATTAACTAATACATATTATATAGTACCCTTTACACGCATTTTTTAAAAAATTATTTACTACCTAAATAATAATAATTAATGGTAGTCGGGCGCCTATTGGGAGCCCTCATTAGGTCATAACTTTGGCGTTTATTGGCTTTGATTAGATTTGTCTACGGCAAGATTTCAGAAGGCCCAGAATGGACTATGAAAAGTTGGGAATTCTTTATGAAAATCTGAGAAATCTGATATACAGTGCAGTATATAGTTTTGTTATATACTGAAGACTATTTTTGCCTGGTATTGGGAAGTGATAAATATATAAAATTTTAAGATTCCTTTGATATTTTTAGATTATTCAAAAGTTTATTATAGTGACAGCACATTTTTATTAAATATGTTAAAATAATTTCGGTATTTACATATTACGGTATGTACTACTTTACTTTTTTTCTCTTTTTTGTATCATATTCGCCACTTATCAGCTTACTAGCCGTTTGGGCGGTTTGTCCAGTATTAGTACAGGAGGAAACCGGGAACTGGGAAACCTGTGGTGGTTGGTAGGGTCACACTGAGTAACACCCTTCTCACGTGTGTCCGGGCCGAGAATTACCTTATAATCTTGTTTGTGTGACGGGCGTTGAGTTGAACTAACATATACTGTACAGTCAGAGATAAAAGTTCGCTCTCCCTGGTAAAAAGCCTTACCTTGACCTGACCGACTCAGCTCCTCGCCTGTCTGGCATATCATTAGGACAGTACACTCACGTGCTATAAGCACGTGACTGAGTGTACTGTCCCTGTGCAGAGTAGTATTTATCAAGAGTGAGAGTTGTGACCAAGGAAAATATATGGTTGTGACGGCACCGAGTGTGAGCTGTTTCAAGACCATACTTGACCAGCACCGGAGCAGGTTCAGATTCATCCAGGAGCTAATGCATGCCCAGTACTTGCCAAGAGTGCGTAAAGACCCCATAGACGGTCAGTCATGATTGCGCAATTACCATAATTATGCAATCATGACTGACCGTCTATGGTGGGCTTAACAGAGACGTGACCGACCGCCCAAGCGGCTAGCGAACCAATCAGTGGCGAAGAGGATAAAAGTAAAAAATAAATGCAAGACGATAAAGGGAATTTAAAACTCACACGAACACCCAGTTGGCTTTTCTTTTATTTGCCATTACCACCAATTATCTGCTTACAAGCCTTTTTTTTAGAGGGGGGGGGGGGCGTTCTGTTCTTTGTTCATTTGTTTTTTACTTTCATTTCCCACGTGAGACGTGTTGGACAAATTCACACTGAGCGCTGCTGCATGACGGATTGCTGAGAGTGATCAATAGCACATCACCAGCAGACTGTCATGAGGTAATTGGTGTTAGGTTGAGCTCTGAGCTTAACAGGAGAAGGAGACGATTTTTTACAAGAGATTATTTTTGTGGTGTAAGGATATGGGACTAGGAAAGACAGAGGGATTGTGTTGTCATAGGGATAGGGAAATAACGAGTAAGTCGGGTGGTGCTATTATGAGGGATGGGAAGTGGCGTGGTTATGATGTTATTAGGGAAGGTTGAGATGCCATGGGATTAGGGACGTCATAAAGGTAGGATAGTAATGAGGGTAGCTATATGATGGAGGTTGGAAAGTGATGGGGGTAGCTATATGATGGAGGTTGGAAAGTGATGGGGGCTGTAATGTCATGGAGGTTGGAAAGTGATGGGGGCTGTAATGTCATGGAGGTTGGAAAGTGATGGGGGCTGTAATGTCATGGAGGTTGGAAAGTGATGGGGGCTGTAATGTCATGGAGGTTGGAAAGTGATGGGGGCTGTAATGTCATGGAGGTTGGAAAGTGATGGGGGCTGTAATGTCATGGAGGTAGGAAAGTGATGGGGGGCTGTAATGCATGGAGGTAGGAAAGTGATGGGGGCTGTAATGTGGAGGTAGGAAGGTGATGGGGCTGTAATGTCATGGAGGTAGGAAAGTGATGGGGAACAATGTCATGGAGGTAGGAAAGTGATGGGGGCTGTAATGTGTCATGTGGAGGTAAGGAGAGTGATGGGGGCTGTGTCATGGAGGTAGGAAAGTGATGGGGGCTGTAATGTCATGGAGGCAGGAAAGTGATGGGGGCTGTAATGTCATGGAGGTAGGAAAGTGGAAATGGGGCTGTAATGTGTCATGGAGGTAGGAAAGTGATGGGGGCTATGTCATGGAGGTAAGAAATTATAGGGGCTGTAATGTGTCATGGAGGTAGGAAGTGATGGGGCTGTAATGTCATGGAGGTTGGAAAGTGATAAGGGCTGTAATGTCATGTGGAGGTAAGAAAGTTATGGGGCTGTAATGTCATGGAGGTAGGAAAGTGGGGGCTGTAATGTCATGGAGGTTGGAAAGTGATGGGGGCTGTAATGTCATGGAGGTAGGAAAGTGATGGGGGCTGTAATGTCATGGAGGTTGGAAAGTGATGGGGGCTGGCAATGTCATGGAGTAGGAAAGTGATGGGGGCTGTAATGTCATGGAGGTGGGAAAGTGATGGGGGCTGTAATGTCATGGGTAGGGAGAAAGTGATAGGGGCTGTAATGTCATGGAGGTAGAGAGAAGTGATGGGGGCTGTAATGTCATGGAGGTTGGAAAGTGATAGGGGCTGTAATGTCATGGAGGTAGGGAAAGTGATGGGGCTGTAATGTCATGGAGGTAGGAAAGTGATGGGGCTGTAATGTCATGGAGGTAGGAAAGTGATGGGGCTGTAATGTGTGGAGGTAGGAAGTGATGGGGGCTGTAATGTCATGGAAATTTAGGAAAGTGATGGGGCTGTAATGTCATGGAGGTTGGAAAGTGATGGGGGAGACTGTAATGTCATGGAGGTTGGAAAGTTATGGGGCTGTAAATGTCATGGAGGTTGGAAAGTGATGGGGGCTGTAATGTCATGGAGGTTGGAAAGTGATGGGGGCTGTAATGTCATGGAGGTTGGAAAGTTATAGGGGCTGTAATGTGTCTTGTGGAGGTTGGAAAGTGATAGGGGCTGTAATGTGTCATGGAGGTTTGGAAAATGATGGGGCTGTAATGTCATGGGTAGGAAGAAGTAATGGGGGCTGTAATGTCATGGAGGTAGGAAAGAGTGATGGGGCTGTAATGTCATGGAGGTAGGAGAGAGTGATGGGGCTGTAATGTCATGGGAGGTAGGAAGAAGTGATGGGGGCTGTAATGTCATGGAGGTAGGAAAGTGATGGGGGCTGTAATGTCATGGAGGTTGGAAAGTGATAAGGGGCTGTAATGGCCATGGAGGGTTGGAAAGTTATGGGGGCTGTAATGTCATGGAGGTTGGAAAGTGATGGGGGCTGTAATGTCATGGAGGTAGGAAAGTGATGGGGGGCTGTAATGTCATGGAGGTTTGGAAAGATGGAATGTAATGTCATGGAGGTGGTAGGAAAGTGATGGGGGCTGTAATGTCATGGAGGTGGGAAAGTGATGGGGCTGTAGCAATGTCATGGAGGTGGGAGAGTGATGGGAAGGTAATGTGGAGGTAGGAAGTGATGGGGGCTGTAATGTCGCTTGGAGGTAGGAGAGAAAGTGATGGGGCTGTAATGTCATGGAGGTTGGAAAGTGATAGGGCTGTAATGTGTGGAGGTTGGAAGTTATGGGGCTGTAATGTGGAGGTTGGAAAGTGATAAGGGCTGTAATGTCATGGAGGTTGGAAGTGATGGGGGCTGTAATGTCATGGAGGTTGGAAAGTTATGGGGGCTGTAATGTCATGGAGGGTTGGGAAGAGTGATGGGGGCTGTAATGTCATGGAGGTTGGAAAGTGATGGGGCTGTAATGTCATGGAAGTGGGAAAGTAATGGGGGCTGTAATGTCATGGAGGTAGGAAGAGAGTGATGGGGCTGTAATGTCATGGAGTAGGAAAGTGATGGGGGCTGTAATGTCATGGGTAGGAGAAAGTGATGGGGGCTGTAATGTCATGGAGGTAGGAAAGTGATAGGGGCTGTAATGTCATGGAGGTTGGGAAAGTGATGGGGCTGTAATGTCATGGAGGTTGGAAAGGTGTGGGAGACTGTAATGTCATGGAGGTTGGAGAGAAGTGATGGGGGCTGTAATGTCATGGAGGTTGGAAGTGATAGGGGCTGTAATGTCATGGAGGTTGGAAAGTTATAGGGCTGTAAATGTCATGGAGGTTTGGAAAGTGATGGGGCTGTAATGTCATGGAGGTTGGAAGTGATGGGGCTGTAATGTCATGGAGGTAGGAAAGTAATGGGGGCTGTGTCATGGAGGTAGGAAAGTGATGAGGGGCTGTAATGTCATGGAGGTGGAAAGTGATGGGGAGACTGTAATGTCATGGAGGTAGGAAAGTGATGGGGAGACCAGCAATGTCATGGAGGTAGGAAAGTGATGGGGGCTGGCAATGTCATGTAGGTAAGAAAGTTATGGGGGCTGTAATGTGTCATGGGTAGGAGGAAAGTGATGGGGCTGTAATGTCATGGAGGTTGGAAAGTGATGGGGCTGTAATTAATAAAAGTATTAGGAGTAAGAAAGTTATGGGGGCTGTAATGTCATGGAGGTAGAGAGAGAGTGATGGGGGCTGTAATGTCATGGAGGATTTGGAAAGTGATGGGGGCTGTAATGTCATGGAGGTAGGAGAAAGTGATGGGGGCTGTAATGTCATGGAGGTTGGAAAGTGATGGGGGCTGTAATGTCATGGAGGTAGG